ACAACGATCCAGTAGAGGCGTAATGAACTGAGAGACCAATCATCGGAAGAGAAGCTAATGGCCGGGCTCCATCGATCTGTAAACACGCAGCCAATCGCTGTGGGCCTAAGCCTTTCCACTCAGGATGGGTTTGAGCCTGGAGAGTTGGAGCAAAGGTGCTCGAGAAAGCCCACCCACACGCCGCCCCCGTACCTTAGGCAGAGAGTCGGAGGGCAGCTGAGAATGAGAGGGAGCCACTCACTAGGTTACCACTAAGTTGGGCTCGGCAGCACCACAAGCAGACGCGCCCCCTTGTGACTACTACTATTCCTCTTACTGTTGACTGCCGGTCTGTTCTCTTTCCAGGATCCTTCCAGTTAGTACTAGCGGGCATTTGGGATAGTTGTAATGGAATAATGAATTGGGTAATGATGGATGGCCGCGGGGCCAACCCGGAGTCTCCTGCGACTCACTTGCTGCGGACAGTGCCACATAGTAACATACCATACCTTATCCACCGCCCCCCGGGGCGATGGATGAGGTGAGTAGCCCATAGTGGTGGTAGTATTCTAGTGAGAGTCATAACCACTTTTACCAGATGGTTGTAGTAATTACCCACATGCAGACCACCCGTCCAATCCGCGAGGCCGCACCACCAACTCTCGCCTGCACCTCTTCCAGGTTCCTCTACCCCCTTCTCTGCCGTCATACTCCGCCCGGCCGTAATGTTCCGTGTATGGTCCGAACCATGAAATTGGGCGCACCGTTTCTGTGTTCTTCTACGAGCCCAGAGAAAAGTACTTCCTTTTAGCCAGTCTCCAGCAATGAAATCCGATCTGGCCCATTCGTTGTTTCCGCCACCGGTTTGCAACCACTGTGATGACTCGATTTCGAGATGATAGGGCGCCGCTGCTGGTCATTCCCGGCAGGTAAAAAAATAAAATAAAATACAAAAGTGAGAAAAAAGGAGAGCCCACCCACTCGGCCAAGGACCCATGCAGGCGCAGGCGGCTGTTGATTTGGCTTTTTTTTCTTTTCTGTACATCCTGTCAGCTGCTCGTGTACGTCCTTTATTACTATCATTGACTTTTGCCGAAAGAAGGAACCCTATCATCCATGGTTTGATATCACCCACATTTGCGCAGATATCCGCGGCAGTACGGAGTAGTCCTGAAACTAACAATGGAGGGGGGTGCGCCGCTTGATCCAAGACAACATTCACACCACCATCTTACCACTCCAGGGTCCCTAGCATCGATGAAAGGACGCTAACTGCCTCCTTTGGTGGGCTCCAGGGCAGGAGAGCAGAATGAAGTAAAATAAACACAACTACCACTGCCGAGTAGTGCTAATCTACTACTACTACTACTACTACTTACCTGTAAATATTGGCCATACCATCGCTCGATGCAAACAAGGAGAAAAAGAAAATTGGAAAATTCCCTTGTACCACCGGCTGGTCGCACTTTAGATCACTCTTTAGTCTTGCAAGCTGCGTCAATCAATGTATGTTCCGCAAATGGTACGAAGTATGCAGAGACTGAGTGGGATGCTCGGGGCGAGGAGAGGATGGAGTCCGACATGGAGAAGTGCTGTATTATGGTTGGGACCATCATGGGGTGATTATGGAACTACGAGTGGCGACCAGGACAAGAGCTCTTCCTTCGTCCGACTTGTTGGCCATGGGTCACGGAAACGCGCCATTGCTTCGAATCAGTTCTGCCCGGCACGCGCTTCGAGTATAATTAGTAGTATTATTGACATTGATTATGATTTCATATACCTCGTACCGCCCGATGATCAATAATAGTTGGCGGCTGAGCATTAATCTGTGTCTCATCTTGGGCCACTTCCGGACGCGTCTCGTTTTCTGCGTTCGGGGCGGCGAGCTGACTTCGGGGTCTGATTGTCGACCGATGGCACTCGAACTTTGGCTAGCCTTGTACGCGACGATTATCAAGAGTCACGGAGGCTTTCCTTTTCTTTACCTCGAACCCGAACAGGTTGGAGAATGACCATCCATATCGTTGTCGCTAGCGTAACGATCGCTTCCTCTCCCTGTGCGAAGTATCGACTCTAGTTAGTTCCTTAGCAGGTGCAGCACCGTCGGAGGACTTCCCTCCCTGTCTCTAGACTGCCGTAGTAGTGTCACTTTTTCCCTCTTTTTCCTTTTTTCTCTCTTTTTTTTTTTACTTTTCTCCCTTTTCTCCATTTCCACCACACCCCATGCACGTACTACTAATTTTCAGGGGGTAAAGTAATTCAAATCCGAATCTGATAGTTCAAGCATGGCGTTGAGACAGTTCAAGGCCACAGGAGCAGATCAACTGAGTGATCGATGGGGGTACGCACCCAGTTCAGCAGGCTCCAGAGGCCTTTTTCATTCGCTCGGTCATTCCAGTGCGGCTAATGATCAACCCCCGCCGCCCCTTGGAAAGACTGGGACTGGAAAGGAAACGAGCAGAAACCAGGCGTCCATCCGCCGAGATTCAGAGAAAAGAACCGAACGTGTCCCGAGTAGTATGACAATCTCATCCCAGGAAACGTGACAAAAAGGGAAGTGCAGCAGGCCCATTTCCTTATTGTTTGAATTAATGGGACGTGAATCCCTGTCTAGATCGAAGAAACACTGGTTGGTTGGTTGGTGTCTTGGACGGATTTGACCTGATCATCAATCCAAGAGTACTCCGTACCAGACTTAACAATAATACAGTGGCCATCGGCTACGTACTATCCATAGGTACCCTGCAGATGGGCTTGAGATGTCTCGCAAAGGAAGGATTCGTGCGTAATTAATGTTTGGCACCACAATATGATCAAAAGGCCCGGGCAATGATAGTGCTTCGTCGGGCGAAATCCGCCTGGGATTATGGATTGATTGGCATTGTTGCGGAGCTGTCCATACTTATGGCTATAGTTGTAGCGAATCATATCGACTTTGTTCCATACTTCAATAATATAATGATGAGCGAGACTTTTGACAGCGCTCCATCTTTACCGATCGGGAGCAGATGGATAGTTTGGTTGATTCGTATTTCCATTGATACCTGCAAGTTGAACGGTTAGTTGTCCCCCGTAACATCATTTCGCCATCATCTCCAGAGAACCACCACGACAACGCCAACTGGGGATCGACCGCAGATGAATTTGCGAGCGGAATCAGATGATGCTTCATAGGTTGGATGAAATCTTGATGACGACTCGACCAATGCAGGTGAAATTTGGCAAAGATTTGGAAGTCAAGGGAAAAAGCAAATGGAAACTGCACGCCACACAGTGCCGATAAAGAAAAACTGATAACGTCTGGTCGCGCGGTACCGACGACAGTAGGACTATCTACAATAGGATGCTGTTTGGGTCTTGTGTGGAGGTTCGGAATAATCCCAAATAGTAAGTAGTCACTTAGTAGGATGTTGTGTGTAGAACCCCTGATCCTTTCCCTTTTGTGCTTCTTGCACTTTTGCTGCCTTCCTGGGTGGGTTTTCTAGGTTCCTTCTTCAACCTTCTTTCCGAAAATAGTCGGTCAAGTCCGCGTAGCCATAAAAAAGCACCGTAGGTAAATGATAGCTCCATAGGAAACCCCAACAAATGCATCGACGCCTCTTTGCACTTGCATAAGAATTATGCCGCTCTGCATTCCAATTGGTATCATAGTCATTAGCTGGAAGTCTAGATAGTCGCGGGCTATTCATTTTGAGATAATGGGGGGGAGGAGGGAGAGGAAGAAGGGAATAAGATGGGTGTACCATCGAATCAAAGCGTCGAGTGTGCATGCTCTTGGCCTGTGTTCCTTTATTTTTGCAGCCTGGCTTTCTGGGTCATCACGACTCAAGCGCGATACGGTGTAACAAATAGACAGAGTGGGTTTGTGGTGTTCCAGAACTTCCGGCAGAAAAAGGTGATAATGGGCTGGATGATGGTGTTGGAATTGGTCGTGGCTATTTCTGAGCTGGGAAATAAGTGGCACGCACGCTCCACTTGGATTGATCAGTGCAAAAAAGGTAGAAAAAGTAGACTAGATACCGACTGTCCTCCCTCCATCCTCGATTAGTCCACCAACCCCGACCTTAACTTCCTAACTAATGAAGATGACTCCGGCCCCCTTCGCTTTTCAGTTTCAAACCTTCAAGGCCCATCCGGCATCCAGAATCCAGATGTGAAAACTGGGGCTGGTGGGAATCCTTGGGTCGTTTTGTCACCCGAGCACTCGGGCGCAGCGACGGGCACAGGCAACCATTTGTGCTAAACGAACAACGGGGGTTGTTGACGCGACGATCGAAACTTGAGAGTGAGGCCATACTGGGTAAAAGAAAAGTCTCCAGCCTTCAATGAAGCCCCATAATTATACGCTGCTCTCAGAGGATCTGACATATTTCGGGTACACTGGTGGACTTCTACTTCCAAATCACCGTGTACACAGTATCCACTAAACTTCCTGGTCATTGCTCGGAAATAGTAGTCGATGACTATGGAGTTGCTGCTCAGTATAGTTCCCCCGTAAGCAAACAGTAATATGCCAGAGCTAGGAAGTCGTTGAGTCTTCCGAACAAAACTCTCCAGACACCAACCACCACCTTAAGCTTTCTTCCTTTCTAGTACACTAAGTCTTACATTCTCTTTTCTTTTCTTTCTTTTTTTCCCCATCATTATTTATTTTTCGTTATGTCCTGATTGTCCTTGTCTTGGCGCCTGTCGAATATTGCCTCGACCAAATTCATCTCCCTGACTGGCCATTTTGGGTTCAATGGATCTTCTGCCCCTTCTTCCAACTAATCTTGTCTTTAGGCCGAACATTCATCTCAACCAGATATCTGGACCAATGACATTCATTTTTACAGGTGCTGTCATCTGCCGACTCCTCATGGTGGTCCTTGAGACGCGAGAAGAGCGCAGAAAAAAAAAATTGAAGCTCTCAAGCCTATGGTCATTAGTGCTACGTATTAGCCATAACGGAACGTAGTATAGTCGCAAGTCGAAATGTCTTGATGAGCCAACGAATAAAGGCTCACCCGCCATGGCACACGTCCACCCACTTATACTACCTTGCTATACTCGAGTGTACATGAACTGGTAACCACATCCAATGTCCGGTTGCTGTAGAGAGACCGAGGTGGTCACCGCCAGTATTATTATTTACTACAGCACCAGAGTATTTGCAACGGATGTCGCTTCTGCAGTCCGAATAGCACTAAAGCAGTAGCAGCAGCAGCTACTGCTGCTATTCACTAATTGCCAAGTAACTTTCCTGGTCGTCTGTTGCCAGCAAGTACCTTTACCCGGCTCTCTAGACGATGTGACTTTGTCACTACCTAACCAGGGTGTCTCAGCATCATCCAGTTCGAATGTGGAACTAACCGCTTCCACCACTTCCGCTGATCTAGATCATCCCTATTAATCACATTATCATAATCCAATATGATGATTGAAGTAATCCTCCGTTTTATTCCTGATTTATTTATCTATTTTTTTTTTTTCTGCTTTGAACTATTATGGCCATTCCTGTGGTACCCTAGACGGTGGTTCCGTTTCCCGACAAGACTATGCGCGTTCATTCGTGCAGAGGCCGCAACAAAATTCCTTGCGATCCTGGACCGCCTTGGAAACCATCGGCCTTCCTAACCGAGTAGGTTTCTGGTCATCAATGACGAGGATGATGACGGCTCTAAGTGGTCATACTTAATTACACAGAGTGCAGCCTAGTACAACACCTGCAAAACTGCATCCGAAGCACTTTCACTCTGTTCATCCGAGGTTCATCGTTCGTGATTCTCATTAACCCACTGGTGGTGAGTCCTCGTTGTGTATGGGGAGAGAGTCTTAACTTTCCGGGATCCCCTCCTCTGCCACACAATCATTGGGCGAGATGGCCTTGACTAGCATCTCGCGGTGTGTTGTCGGAAATTCGAAGATAGAAATAGGATGTCTGCGAAAGAAACAGATCGACACCGTCGAACATTATTAATGGGGTCGACAATAATAACTAATGGTTACTCGTCCTTGTACCGCGCGGTCCCGACCTGCAAATTGATTGCAGGAAACATCCTGATTATCCAGCATCTCGCCCTCATTAATAATAAGGATGGTTAAATAACTATGCCGCGACTCTGGTCGGGACTAATCCAGTCCTCTTTCATGACTCGAATTGACCTAGTATTGCATGAACTGGCCTGGCCTATCACTAGGCAGACTTAGTCGGATAACGAAGCTCCTCGGAGATTTTCTTATCACGCAAGTTGCCTGGATGGTGCCGCTCTAGCCCGTGGGTTGTCATTCCCATCCCCAGTCTCCTCATCACCTTGCACCTTCAATGTGTACACGAGTGATCGCATCACCGGACTGTGTCAGGATAAAAGGGCGTACGCAAGGACAAGTTCATTTTCCGGAGATTTGCTCTATGCTGAAGATGAGCATTTTTCGGGCCCGTCCTTTCCCGCCTTGCTGCCTTTCCAGGCTCCTTGCATCTACTCATCCTTGCGGCTCGATGCTTTCTAAACATCTAACATTTTGGAGGAGGGTAAACAAACAACCCTCATGGGGAGGATAAGCATGATACATCGCAACCTCCGTGCGAGATGATACTGCAGCTTAAGCTTTCATCTAAGCCAGGCATGTGTGCAAGCTTACTGCTGGCGACCGACAGGCATGATTGCTACGTGCTCTACAAAACCAAGGACCCTGTAGTAGTCGAGACTCGATATCCCTTCGTTCTCCCTTGAAGGCGGTTGGACAGGCAGCGGTTGCTCCGGTTCAGTATGAGACGAGACCAACAATCCTTGCTCATGTTGAGCCACCGTCGACCACGGCCCAAAGTCAACATGAAGGTTCGAATGCCGCCATCGTCAGTCCGTCTTTCGATGCGAGGCATAGACTACTTCGTAGATTGCAACTTTTGAGGAACCGGGGAAACGCATCCGGTGGACTGGTTTACAAACCGTGTTGAAACCAACCCTTCTTACCTTCAAAATTCTGGGTTTCGTAATCGTGATGAAGGTGACGATGATGATGAGCATAGAGATCCTCGAGGATTTGGAGGCGGAATACTGGATTGGTCAAGCCGAAGCTGCTCAGGAAGCACGCGGCTTATCGTATGCTGGTCGATTCCCGCTACGCGACCGTAATGATTAGCAATAAGCTCAGCGATGACCATTCGACAGATGGCTAGCGCAGCAGAACTTGATATCACCGTTTGCCTCTCGCGGTAGAGGAATTCTCGAGATCCATCACGATCACGAAGCCAACATTATCTACGGAGGCTTTGGCGGCATGTGCACTGGATGCATCCGTCGTGGCCGCTGGAGCCTGAACTCAGCTACGGTTCATCGCCCCGTCCAAGTTCCCTATTCGGTTTTATTCGCCCTCTTACCTCGCTCCCGTTTTTCTTCTCCAACCGCACGCCCGCTGAAGATTGTCTGGGTCGGATACCATTATGGGGAAGTATCGGAAGTTGGGAGGGACTACGTGTGTACGGCCTGAAACCTTCCCCGCCGGACCAAATCGAAGTCGTAGAATTTTGATCACCAATGATCATATTACTTGAAGTAGCAAGCCTCGTTCCTTTCTTACTTTACGGCCTTGCCTCGGGAGTAACTATACCGTATGCTACAGTACCACCTGAGAAACCCTCCATGGAGACACACCCTCCCCCCAACTTGCACTGGGCGAGCTGAACGAGCATCTCCAATAAAAACAAAAAAAACAAAATGAGGGAATGATGTATCGATCTCTTCTGATGGAGTCCCTTACAAAACTCGTCTCACCATCAGACCTTCATCCACCCTGGGAACCACACATCCCTAGCACGGAGTACCGTTCATCAACATTCGTCCTTCGTTACTTCTGTCTAGGTAGAGTTACTTCTGGCGAAATCACCCACTTTTACTCTCTGTGGCAGCAGACTCCGCTCCAGGCAAGAAAACTAGCCGGGCCACCGACAAGTTTTACCAACCAGGTCGGTAGCGTAAAAGTACCAAAATCTTTGCCCCTGGTTCACAGAATAGTACGTATTTCGATCTCTCGCCCCTGCCACTAACAGAGGACTATATACCGGTCTCAGTATGATCTGGATTCTCCCCTTCCCCTCCTCTACCCACTCGATGTCAGTGCCACCGCGACTCCTGCGGCTGCTCTACATACTCACTTGGTTTTAAACCCAACCCGGAAATACTCATCGCATCCATGACCCCATGCGAACGTTTATCATCAGGATCATTAATTACCACCACCCATCAGGAGATGACCTAATTGATCACACCTCTCTCCGGTGCACTAGATGCTGCGATCGTCGCTCCGAGATGCTGACCGCGTCTGTGGGCACCCTCCCATTCCTGCTCAGATGAACTTGACCCAGCGGTTATCAGCTGGCTTGGAGTCAAAGTAGTTAGTCCTGGACACGCTGGCTGTTGAATGCTTACCGGTGCCTTGGCCCATCCACGCTTGTTCGATTCTAGGCCATGTGCTCGGATTACTATGCGTATTGTTTGCTTTGCTTTGCTTTGCTTTGCTCTGCTCCTTCGTAGGTATTGTCAGTCGGCCTACTCAATTCCGGGCTTGTCGAACAGGGCAGAGAATTGACTTGTTCCTCGGCTAGCTTTGGTCTCAATAATGATAACGACGGGGTTAATCTACACTAAACTTTGGATGTTTGGACTAATATACACACACTTTCAGATATGCATACATGCATTCTATCTACTTACAGGCCCGTTAGACCTCACTGTCTTTTAGTCTTAACCCAGTTCAATACGGCCAACCACCCCATGCGTTCTAATCACGGCATTCTCATACTAGCATATGTATAATATACATACACTGTTACTCAGAGCTAAGAGCCAACTCGAAAGTTGAATACCTCGTGACAGAGAACCATCAGAAGCAGAAAAAGCAAACAGCCAATTTGAGAAGGAAACGCAAAGCCAAAAAGAAACGGCTGCCTGACAGCCTCACAGGACCAACATTAGACCACCGCACCCATAACAAGAAAATCATACATGATGCTTACTCGCTACCTCACTCCTGCCTACTAGCTATTTGATGTCGGCCTTGAAGTAGTCACGACCAATGTATGACCAACCCTTGATTATGTCCACCTCACACGGCATCATCACCATCATTTCTTGTTTTCTTCCACTACCGACTACCCATTCTCAGCTCCCCCTTTCAGCACAACTTTTGAGCGGTGATGCCTGAGTTATATAGAATTATTGACTGATGGATATGATTCGATGGCTACATGATCCGGTAATACTGTATACTAAGTAAGGCTATGTATGGATGCCAGGTAGCTGGCTACTTAGCTAGCTAGGCTAGCTAAGCTAGTAGAGCAAGTAAGCAAGTAGCTTTGACATTTAGTTTTCGTAGGGCATATGTTCTACTCTGTTCTGTGTTCGTTGTGGATGATCGATGGAAATATTGTTATTGGCTATTTTGATACCATGTGGTGGAAATGAATGAGTATGCGGAAAGTAACTGTCTGCTGATAATCCTGTTTTTTCTTATCACCAGGAGGTTGTTTGAATGCTATTGAGACTAGAGGTACCGTGAACGGTTATCTATTGGGCATGTGGTATTAGTGGATGTGCAGTTGATATGTGCTGGGCTGAACTGGGTTGGGCAGCTTGATAGTAGTACTACTACTATCAATACTCCTAGCATCATTGTCAGTGGCGCATCTTGCCACGAACACGGTAGGGAAATTCCGTGTCCTTTCATAGTATCTATCTGTTTAGGTTTGTCTTGATATAAGAGGGTTAAAGATTAGGTGAAGCTTAGAAGCGCAGCTACTATTACTACTATCCTTTCGGTGCTGTCCACCATGCACACACTTTCTATTTACTTACTCTATATAGTATGTCTCTAGTACCCACGTTGTGACGGATTGGTAAAGATGAGTTGTGTAATAGTAGATACCAGATAATATAGATCACTACCAGTGTGTCTAATCATTCCCATAGATAGCGAAGTAGGTATGCTCAACGGTAAGCTTATAGTATATATTTATTTATATATTTAAATAACCAATTCTGCTCTTAGAGAGGAACAGTTCGTTGGTAAATATATCAAAAGTACTGCACAGTAGCCAGAGTCATTGTGGAAAGCACCAGTAGTTATACATGTATATATATATATATATAAATCTATGCATATTGAACAATCTACTCCTAAACCCATAAACGTGACTTGAGCATTTTACAATAGCGTCGTCACGTCTTTACTATATCTAGCTTCGCATATGATACAAACTCGAGTAGATCGCAGAAGAAATACCGGTGTCGAATTACTAACGGCTAATCTCCCAAACCTGACAATATACTTAGTCTATTCAATATTATGATGCTGTGTGGATGCACGTCTACGTTACTTTAAATGGAGGGAAGGATCAGCTGATGTTACTAACTGCTGGGATGATGATGAATGGTACTTAAAATGAATACTATATACTATATAGGTATATATATATATATCTATACTAGGTGTCGAGGGGTCAAACGGTAGCTTCCACATCAGTCACATACATACATGAACCATCATATAAATCGTTACTTGCTGTACCAGAGTTATCAATAAATTACAAGCACAGTTCAATACTTACCATCACTATAGTAGACTTAGGATGATTGCAATGATCTCACCACCGTACTAGTACCCTACCAATCTAATTTACATACAACTCTGGCATTTCATTCCTGATGATTTCATATCATATGAGTCTCTTAGAATTTATTATTAAGCATGTCTGTTAGATCTAAACTCACCAAAGATTGACGTAGTCGTATCTGGTAGTGATCTAGTATCTTTGCTCGAGTATGATAACCAACCCAAATGCCATTTTATATCAATTTCCCTGTTCCTTTGATCTATGGCAAGGCAACGAGGGGCGACTAAGAAGTTCTAATAAATATATGTGCTACAGGTTTCATTGTAGAGGAGAATGAGCCTAGAAGTTGAAGAGATGGTGTCTTGCTTAATGTACCTTGTCGATGAGGAAGTACTCGATGGTTTGAGAACATGATATGAGCGACATGAAGCCATGCTGTTTATATGTTGAGGATGGATGAGCAGTATTTAGGACATATTAGTAGCTTTACATACTCTCTCTTCCTATGTCATCGCATAATTTGTATGCCGAGTGCTGTATGAAATATGATCCTAAAAGAGAAGGCTTATAGACTATACGGCCTCAAATCTTCCCATGAATAAATAAGTAAGAGCGAGTCTAGTGGAAACTGGGATTAGCATGTGCTATCCGAATTGAGTAATGACTTCTGGATAGAGCGTATCGAAGGTCTAGCATTATGTGGTAAGCGATGATTGGCAGTCGATCACTTGGTGCATCACAACATTCAGCGACGCCTATAGATGCATTCCACATATACTTCTGCAATAAAACAAAATTCAGCTTTATGACCGAACTGGTCGCTGTTCTTACGAGAATACAGGTTAGTTGCTGCTCGAAGGTACTAGACCGGACCAAAGTTTCCACGACGAAAGCCGAACCATATACGCAGTTATTCATTTTGCATAGAGCTTCATGCTTGCTCCTTGCATTATACAACCTTCCTCACATCAGCTTCCCTATATGACATACCAACATATGCACGTAAGCCACTCGAAATCGGACCAACAGCAGGGATAGGGTTCGGCATTGTGTCCGGACAAAACCTAGAAAAGGGTACCCAATAACCGCCGAGGTGGCATGTGGTTGTACAGATACAACTGCAGATGCTCCTGGTTGGATCGCCGAGTGACAAGTCAGATATGTTGTACGTGAGACAATTGTACTACATGCTCGGAGTTGCGGTATGGTGTGCCGAACATCAGGCACATCTGAGCATTTTGGAGCGATAGTATGCCCATGTATATGCTGTATGCGATGATCATTCGTCTTGAATCTTTTGAGCATAACCATACCATACTGTGCCTTGTTTATGCGTTCTTTGTATGCGGACTAGGACCGTATGAGTCGTCACCACTGGATGATCGTAGGATGTTACATTGCATCGATGCAGCTGCTACTTCGAAGATCGCCAAGGGACTGGTCGCTTCGCCCATTGGTGTGCCCCTTACCGGAACGGGAGTACTTTATCTGTTTACTAGACTGTTAGCTTGAGACTGGATCAGTCTCTAACCGCAAATCGAACAGCAGCCGATGGTTAGAATTGAAAGCATGTCATGAGCGAGTGTGTCCGGCCATCAAGCATTGGTGAAGTCTGTAATTGTAGGGGAAGCCACCAGAGGACAGCTAATGGCCTGTCTTCCTTAAGAGTGAGGTATTTATCTTCCCATAGCCGTACTCTCCCGACTCGTGTTGGCACCAGATATCTCTTGCTAGCCGAGGCTGATTTCAACGCACATCCAAGGTATCCCACATAAGTCATTGTTGGGTCTTTTCGAACACCATGCAAGCAGCTGGTGGGAGCATATGAGATAGAAGCCGCAACGTTCGGTGTTGCACGCAAAGTTGGAAAAGATGGGCAGGCAGCATTGGCTTGGGAAAGCTGGCTATTGGAATTTCCGGCAACGCGAATGGACTTGATCGAGGCAACGTTCCTGTGGGTATGTGGGTCAAGGACAGAACAACGAGGCCATAGCAATCTGGCCTGATAGCATCTTAGCAGCACCAGCCATCAGCCAAGGCGTGTATGATCGACCGCAACCACGGGAATTAACGGACTTGGGGATGGATGCAAATGGAGGAAAACGGGCGATTGAGAAAAAGTGGAGCATCAAAATCCCCGGATTCTCCTCGTTCTTCTGGTTTGGAGCTTAGAGGCCAGTGGTGGAGTGACAGAAGTGGATGTCAAACGACACTGGAGATTCTCTAGTCGTTCTAGATGCGGGAGAAGCCGGGGAGGATCTCGGGAAGGACCGTGTGTCCCAGCTGGACGGGCGACGGATGAGTCAGCGAGACAGTGGTCCAGACCGAAAAAGGAAAGCACGATGGGCGAGAGAATCAGGAAAGAGCGCGCGGGAATGCATGGAGGAGCTGCAGGAGAATAAATAATTATACGGAATAGAGAGGGGATAGTTAGGAATAAACCAGTGGATCATTCAATATTCTATCTTGCCTATCATCCCATCGGGGAAGAAGGGTTATCCATCTATCCCCGATCAGAGACAATGACGGAAACATTTAACCCCAGTATACAATCGTCATCCATAATCAAATGTAGTGATGTCTACTGACATTATCTACCAAATGCTTAGTCCAAATGTTATGATAAAAGCCTCAAAAGAACAGTGCCTCAGGAAGGGCAGTGTGATTTTCCCCTCACAGCAAAACCCGACTGCGCCTAACCTTCTCCCCACTAAGTAATCTTTCCCCTCACGAAACTATTTTCCTCCTCCTCTCCAAATTTTTTCATCTCCAACCCGCCACATGTGAAATAAATGGCAAAATAGTCTCTATACCCAAGCAGGAATGAAAAACTCTTTGAACTAGTTTTTTTCTTGCTTTCCACTGGAACCCGGCTGACCGAGCACCCACTTGGCTTACGGTCGAGCCAGTCGCGTTTGGTGCCAGAAGGAGAAAATTAGCCGCCCTGCGATCCCCAGCAGAGCACACCGATTCGCCCAAAACAGCTAATTGAGACAGTCATTTTTTCCTGTGCTTTGCTTAACGCCGGTGATTTTTCCAGTGGACGAACCCTTTATCCAGACTTAGTGTTCAATTTCTCTGAATCACTTCCTTTCCTCTTACTCTTCTCTTTCCCACCCACTCTCCACTCTCCCCTCCTCCCCCATTCCCTCTGCCTTTTGGCTCAGGTGCGACTACCGCCCGACAATGGTTGGAAGTACGCTGGCGATCCGCTCCAAGATGGCCTCTCCCTCCGCCGCCATGCAGTTGTCGTCGCTGTCGCGCAGGTCGCTTTCGACGCGACCCCAGCTCCTTCGCTCCGCACGTCCCTTGAGACAGCAGCAATTCCAGCGCTCTACTCGTCGCTCCTACGCCGATGCTGCGCCCGCTGCCCCGACCCCCAAGCCCAAGAAGCGCTTCAGGTTCTTGCGCTGGACCTGGCGCCTGACCTGGCTCTCCACTATCGGTGCGGCTGGTGCTCTGGCCTACAGTGTCTATGAATTGCGCCATCCCGTCGAGCAGATCAAGCCTGATCCGACGAAGAAGACCCTTGTTATCCTGGGTAGGTTTCTTGCACCCTGTGTCGCTTATCGCGACACGATCGCGGCCGAACAGCAACTTACGAGTCATTTCCCAATCCAGGTACCGGATGGGGTACTGTTTCCCTGCTGAAGAAGCTCGACACTGAGAATTACAATGTTGTCGTCATCTCTCCTCGCAACTACTTCCTTTTCACTCCCCTCCTCCCCTCCTGCACGACTGGTTTGATCGAGCACCGCTCCATCATGGAGCCGATCCGTAACATCCTCCGTCAGAAGACCGCCCACGTGAACTTCTACGAAGCCGAAGCCACCAAGATCGACTACGAAAAGCGTGTCGTGTACATCAGCGATGACTCTGAGATCAAGGGAGACATCTCCCACACCGAGGTGCCCTTCGACATGCTTGTCGTTGGTGTCGGTGCTGAAAACGCAACCTTCGGTATGTATTCATTGCTCACGCCCGCCATGGATTTCAATCTAACAATCACTAGGTATCCCCGGTGTCCGGGAGAACTCCTGCTTCCTGAAGGAGGTCGACGATGCTCAGAAGATCCGCAAGCGCATCATGGACTGCATTGAGACTGCCATGTTCAAGGACCAGACTGAAGACGAAGTCAAGCGTCTTCTCCACATGGTTGTTGTTGGCGGTGGCCCGACTGGTGTCGAGTTCGCCGGTGAGCTGCAGGACTTCTTCGAGGACGACTTGAAGAAGTGGGTTCCTGAGATCCAGGAGAACTTCAAGGTTACCCTCGTTGAAGCTCTTCCCAACGTCCTTCCCATGTTCTCCAAGCAGCTTATCGACTACACCGAATCGACTTTCAAGGAGGAGAAGATCTCTATCCGCGCAAAGACTATGGTCAAGAACGTCACCGACAAGTACATCGAGGCTATGGTTACCAACCCTGATGGATCCAAGTCCATCGAACGTATTCCCTACGGTCTGCTGGTCTGGGCTACCGGTAACGCTGTTCGCCCCGTGGTTCGCGATCTGATGAACCAGCTCCCTGCCCAGAAGGACTCGCGTCGTGGTCTTGCTGTGAACGAGTACCTCGTCGTGAACGGCGCTGAGAACGTCTGGGCTGTTGGTGATTGTGCTATCACCAACTACGCCCCTACTGCTCAGGTTGCCAGTCAGGAGGGTGCTTTCCTTGCCCGTCTTTTCAACACCATGGCCAAGACCGAGGCTATCGAGAAGGAGTTGAAGCAGCTGTCTGAGGCCCAGGCCCAGGCTAAGGGTGAGGAGCGTGACCAGGTCTTTGACGCAATCCGCGAACGCCAGAAGCAGCTGCGGAGAACCAAGCAGATTGGTCCCTTCCAGTACTCCCACCAGGGTAGCATGGCCTACATCGGAAAGGAGCGCGCTGTTGCGGACATCAGCTGGCTGAGCGGCAACATCGCCAGTGGTGGTACCATGACCTACCTCTTCTGGCGCAGTGCTTACCTGAGCATGTGCTTCAGCAGTAAGTAACCCTTTATTTGACTGTTAGTGCAACTGTGTGATTTTAACTGACATTAATTACAGCTCGCAACCGTGTCCTGGTCGCCGTTGACTGGATCAAGGCCAAGCTGTTTGGCCGCGACGTCTCTCGGGAGTAAATCCTTCAATAAAACCTTTGGAAACTCTGTATCACCATCAGCAGACATGCTACGTCCATGATTTCGAAGCGATAACCCCTCTTTTATCATTGAATTTCGTCTCTTGTTCATTCTTCTTTTCCTCGCCCCCTTCCTTGACGCCACTCAAATGACCATCCTCTTCCCTGACCTAAATGGGAGCCCCCATTGTCTGTCACACGTTGCTCCTACGGAGCATCCAATGACGATCAGAAGAGCACACTAAACCAAGACGCTCTGCCGTGATTTATTGCAGCGTCTTTAATGGGTGACTCTATTAAAAGCGCACATAGATCACTTGATCATCATTCATTCGTCTTTTGTTTCTTTCCCTGTACGAAATAGATAGACCGGGTTCGGGTTACTGTTTAGACATGCTAGATTTGGCCATAATTTTTCTTTGTGCTGTTTCTCTTTTCCCAATACATTCTTCCTTTTAGCTTTCTCTGTTTTTTGCTTCCTATTCATCCTCTGATAATTTGGGTCTTATTCTCTTCTATATATTTCGTTTCACTCCGAAAATGGGTTTGTTCGATTGTACACTCTGCTGACTTGTATTGGTACTGGTATTTGTATGCTTATTGGCGGGTTATTGGTCACATTAAAGCTAAATTGTTTGTATCATCATATATGGATTCTCTCTCTTTATCTCGTATATTCGGAATTTCACGTCTCAAGTACGATATTCATCAGGCTGTTCTCCCTACAGACACGTTTGACTGTAGGCATACGTGGAGTAGCATCCAATACTACAACTGAGCAGCAACCGATTGAAGCTAGGGTCATCACGGGACCTATGATGGATAATGAGTTTCTATTGAATAAGAGAATCCCGGAAGATGGAGCCCGTCATGCTAACGCCTATCCTAACTATCCTATTACAGGATTACTTAACTATAACAAAACATGTTCTGTTACGTATGATACACAGGTGAAAGGGAGACATAGGATGTGTCAGTGAGTGTGGGAGAAAAGTAATGTATACGCTTGCTGTTTCATATGATATAGGTCAAGAGGTATAAAGCAGAGCTGAGAGATATCGCCGACCTTTTCAGACAAAAAGATGGGGAATAGACGAAAGAAAAGAAAGATGAGAAAGAAAGTCTAATCGATTAATAGGTAGGCCGCTAGGTCGATAAGTAGATTTATTATTCTTCAGAACAGATTCCAGCCACGGTTCCTCTGTTCCCGGTTACCTACAGGACGATCTGAGTTCCTGTTTTTCCTTTCGCGTCCGTCGAGTTGACGGATACTTTCGATCTTCTGGAGGGCTAATTCAAGAAGTTCCTTCTTCCTGATCACGTCCAGGTGGTTCCGGATGCGCGGGTCTTCGCGGGCGAATCGCTCGACTTCTGCGTCGGATAGGTGGCGGCCTAGACGCATGTCGAGCTCGCGGGGGAAGTTGTAGTAAAATTCGGAGAGGAGCTCAACGTTGAGGAAGAGGACGGCCGTTGAGGTGAGCTTGTCGGCGACAACGTCGAGGAAGACCTCCGGGCAGTAGTATTTGTTCTTTTTGGAGGAGCATTGCTTAGAGCGAACAGCGAGGAGCCGCATTTTAATTAGGTCAGCTCGGTCACGGAGGAAGACGCTCTCGCGGCCTGTCTTTTTGTTAGATTCGATACCATGTTGACAAGTAGGATAGAATCGACATACCTCGGGCCAGCAAGGCGGAGCTAAATCCACCCGCACCGCCAGCGCCGTCGCCTTCCAGGAATACCTCGCCCTTCCGCACCTTGTCGATGAAGGACATGACGTCCTTCAGCTTGCGCCGTCCGATGGAGTCTTCAAGGCGCTTGAAGGCCGTCTCGCACGCTCTGAGTTCCTCCTTGAGGACTTTGCTGACATTTTCCCTTCCCTTGGCCCATTCCGGGTCCTCGACTTCAATCTCGAACTTGAACGGCTTGATGCAATTTTCAACTTGATCACTGGTGCTGAAGAATCGGTCGTTCAAGATACTATTGCATGCATCGACGATCTGCTTCTGAGCATATGGATGCGTGGCAAATGTGGAGTTGGCGATTAGGCGATCGACGTGGGATTGGATCGCGTTGGCGACAACTGTGGTGGCAAGTCGACCAATTCCCAGCTTCGTCAGGGAAGATGTTGAAGCATCGAGTTTGCGGTGCCAGTACAGTGACTCCGGGTCAGCTTTGGCAAGGTCACTGAGCGGATCCAATTCTGGTAGCGGAGCGGATAGATCTTCTATCGGCTTATTCCAATATCTTTGCGCCAGGATGTCCATTACCCGCTGATCAAGCTCGTTCTTCAGCATTTCACGGACCTGAGGGCGACCGAAGCTTTCGGCAAACGCCTTGAAAGAGTGCTTGAAGCTGTCCAAGCTCTCTGCAAGATAAGACTCTGCACTCAGAGGACGATCGTTGTACTGAACCTTGAACTCATAGGTTGCCTCCTCAAGTTCTTGACTGATTGCATCCCTAGTACCCGCTAGGCTTGATGCCATCGTCTGCTCGAGAACATGCATGAGCTTCGTGCGCAAAGTAGAAACGCCGACAGAAACGTCCGATTGTGATCCGAACTCCGACGGGTGAGCAGAGAAATAGGCGTGTTCGTTCTTCATGATGGCTCCAGTGATATTTCCGCTGCCCCTGGAGAAAAGCGCTGTTGTTTGAGGAATCCGGCTAACGACACCGACGTAGCCCAGGCGGAGAGGGTACTTTTTATCGGAGAGAACGTTGTAACCACGCTCGGGGTCAACAAGGTCCATCTTCGTTATAACACCGATTGTCCGTTCTCCTCTAGGGTCTACCCTGCGGCTGGCTCTGAGAGCAGTGGAGTTGGCCAGGTCAACGTCTGCCGCGGAAATGGCGAGGATTACATTCGGTGCTTGGATGTACTTGTCGCAGAGATCGGAGATCTTCTGTTTCAACTCTGGGGGTTGGTCATGTCCAGCAACTTGGATGTAGCCTGGAAGGTCGATGAGAGAGAGGTCAGGAACGTGAGGAGAGTAGATGGAAAGCTGGATAGGGTCATCGGAAACACAGTCCCTCTCTGGAACGGCCAAATTCAAATCCGTCAGAGTCCGCTGAATCTGAGAGAAGTCGGTGATTTTCCCTAACCCGAGAGCCGGAAACTCTCCATATTCAGCTTGCGCATTTGGTGTGTTGACCAGAGTCAGCTCGATCGGTCGCCGGGTGACCATGTTAGTGCCCTTCGGAAGGAATTCATGTCCGACAATAGCTTCCAAAACTGAGCTCTTGCCCGAAGACTGAGACCCAATAACCACAATTGACGGGAGCGTCAGGGTATTAGACTGGCCGACGGTCTGCAGTATGTTTCTGATCTCGATCATCTTCCGTGTAAGAAGCATCATCTGGTCATCTTCCGCAATCTTCCTTTCTGAACGGGTGTCCTCCTCATTAGACTCATCGTAACCGAAAGCTCCGGCAGTAGTAGCTCCAGCTGCCGCGGCACCGAGACGGCTCTCCTTCGGGCGTTTACCTCCAGGGCCACCATTGTCGGACTGCGACTCTTCGTTTGGGTTTATAAAATTCTGCAACCATTCCGGAAGTTCCACGGCATCCGTGGTTCTTTGCCATCCGCGTTGTGTCTGTTCGGCAATGCCCTGAATTTCCGTGAACAAGCTCGAGGCTGCATCTCCCGCCGTTTCCCCCGCACGTTTAAAAAGATCGATAGCGTAATTTCCTGCCTCTGAACGACGCAACCATTCGTTAATCAGCTATCAGCAAAGACGGGTCGCGAATCGAATACGTACGTGTGGCTTGGTACTGGAAATAAGCTAGCCCCGCTACCGTAGCACCCCCAAGCATAGCCGGCAGCCGTATCAGCTTGATAGCCAGTTTAGGGAGTATCCGGTGAAAGGAGATTGCCCGCACAGCAGGCACATTATTGTGAATCGCGTTTGCACCTACCGGCCAGGCCCGTCCACGTAGTGCGGCGCTGCCATCGGAGCGAAGAAGACCGCCGGTCCTGGCCGCAGCATTATGAACATGGCGGGCCAGAAGACCGGTCCGCAACAGCGGAACAAGACGATGGGAGAGAATTCTCCCGCTCATGATTTCTGAAATCACATACACATCAAGAGAGTTGGGAGAAGGAGGTTAGGCATTTCCGAGGCCAAAAGTCACGGTTGGTAGTACCTTCGGGATGGTAGGTAGCTTGCGGGAGGGAAGGAAAGCAAGAAGGAGGCGGCGGAGATGATCAACCAAACCACAAAATAATAAAGCAGTCAGTCATTCGATAATCGCGGCTTTCCCGCTGCGGGTCTCGTGACCTGCGCCCGATGGCCGCTTCGCTGGCCGTATCGGGACCGGTGTGAGTCACGTGTGGAGAATGTCGCCATTTCGATAGATCCAGATAACAACTATTTTCCGGAGGTCTGAGTTATTTCCGCTTCATTCGAAAGAGTCGAAGGTTCTGCAGGCTAGTTGGACCCAGCAGATATATATATTGGGCTGGGTTTTGTGTTGCCCAATCCATCCTGAGCATTCAGCTGCGCCGTTGTCGGATCGAATTGTGACTGGAGACTGGAGCTGCGCCCTGAAGCAACTACTACTAGTTTTAGCGTCTTCAGCTGAATCGGGCTTTGCACTCTACAAACACTTTTAAAGAAGAAGGTGTCCTCAGGGAGAGATTCCTGGACTGTATTTTCTTGTCAAGCTATACTCTCCGTATAATTGCCGAATATGTGTCGTCTCCTGGTATGTAAGCCCGTTCTGACCATCCACGTCATACAGCCAGCCTGAACTGACCGCTTGTCGCCAGGTATACAAAGGCAGGCATGAGATTCGTCTCAGCAAGCTAGTCACGGAGCCAAGCCATTCCATCCTCACCCAGTCCTACGACTCCCGTTTAAGACTAGTAAGTCCATCATCATCATCATCATCATCCTCTGTAGTGTTCAAGTAAAGGACCATACTGCCCGGGAACCGTCTTGCCCCCTATCCCAGACCAACAGCCAAAACTAACCCCATATACAGGACAACCGCCGCCCCGTCAACGGCGATGGCTTCGGTGTAGGCTTTTACACGGACCCCAAACTAGGTCCAGAGCCATGCATCTTCACATCGACGCTCCCAGCCTGGAATTGCGAGAACTTAGAGCGCCTAGCTTCTAAGACATGCTCGAATCTAATCTTCGCGCACGTGCGCGCAACCACAGAGGGAACCCTCTCCGACACGAACTGCCACCCTTTCCAGCATAGCACGCTGATGTGGATGCACAACGGCAACGTCGGCGGCTGGCAGTACATCAAGCGGCCGCTGGCCGACTCGCTCGCAGACAAATGGTTCCTCGGCGTCAAGGGTGGGACGGATAGCGAGTGGGCATTCGCGCTATTCCTTGACCTTCTCGAGAAAGAAGGTGTGGACCCTAGCTCTGATCCCGGCCCGGGAGGGTTCGGACAAGCGCTGCTGCGTCGGGTGATGGTGAAGACGATTGCCAAGATCAATGAGTTCATTCGCGACATTCCCAAGAGACATAATGTGTCGAATGTGGAGACTCGCAGTTTGCTCAACTTTGCTGTTACGGATGGGCAGACGGTTATCTGTACGAGGTATATCAGTAGTAAGACGGATGAACCGGCTAGTTTGTACTTTTCGTCCGGGACGAAATGGGTGGAGGGGAAGGATAAGGGACATTTCAAGATGGAGAGGCATGATAAGGGAGCTGATATCGTGCTTGTGGCTAGTGAGCCGATTACATTTGAGAGACGTGAGTGTTTTGCATTGTTCCTACGGAAAAGAGAGACATATACTAACTGACTTGCTTTAGACAACTGGGTCTCCGTCCCTGCTAACTCCATCGTCACCATCCACAAGCAAACCGTCCTGCTACATCCCATCATGGATGAGTTCTACGTCGAGGACCTGAACCAGGACCGCTCCTCCTGCTACGCCGTGTCCAAGGGCCTCGTTAGCACAGCCCCTGGGACAACAGTGCAGCCCCGTGATGCAGGGGCTGTTGACACCAATGCCGGTGCTATCCATGGCAATGGGTCTGCGCTGGATTCGCAGCAAATCAATCTCGCAAACAAGTGCGCTTTATCACATTGATAGAACGATTTGACCGCTTCAACGCGTGCGACAGTGTTTAGACAGGGGGAGTTACGGGCTTGGAGTTTGGGGATCTGGGTGTTCTTTACATTTTCGGGCACATTATCAAACATCTTTTGTAATCGATCTACTACTTATTCAGCTCATTCTTCATCTGTATGCAATACTATTATTAGTACGGTCAGGTTGCCCCCTAACCTAACCGGTGAACTAGTATGAAACATTGTCGATATCGAGACTCAAACTCCATCCCGACCCGCTAAGCCATATATACACAGAAATGAAATCGAATGGAAACAAAGAGGGTAAAAAAGTAAAAAAAGAAAAAAAGAAGAGATGCGACCTGCACCTCCCCACCGAGGTCATGCAAAACAAGAAGATTCGTTGGAGAAAGAGAAGATATCATATATCCTCCCCAGATATATTAGCATGCTTGAAATACTTCATCCCCACCCAAGCAACAACGACCCAAACCCACGACATAACGGCCGTCAACACAATCAATGCAGGATAATACCCCACAATGGGTAACGTAGGGTCATCCTCCAGCTCTGGAGGGGCATATGGCGTCTCTCCGACGTCCCACGCCCAGCTCCAAACACCGAAGCAACTTCCCATTCCGACAACAAACACCAGCCACGTCACAATCAGTATTATCCACCCCCACCATTCTGTCTCCGAATAGTCCCATACCATCTCCGAGGTGCTGACAATATCGGCGGAGTGAGTTGCCAGGGGCGATTTGGCGCGGTGAAGTGGTCGATAGGCCGTCGAGTTGGCTTGTAAGGCATAGTATGAGTCGGAGCTGGACGAAGCGGTTGGGAGGTGGAGGCCGGTGGTGGTTGTTGCGGCGGCAGCGGCGGCGGCAGCAGCAGCGGCGATAGCGCTGTTTGATGTATTGGGGTGAGGGAAGGGTATGATATCTTCGTCGTCGGTGGTCATCTCATCGCCGAGGATGCTTTCTTTGGATTGATTTTGCTGACGATGCGAGGGAGCGGCTGCATTTCGGGTTCGCTGGGGTGCGTCCATAAGGGTCCACGTAGAAGTATTTCCTCCATGATCGGGGTGACCTGAACTGCTTCGCTGGGGAATGGTCTCATTATCGGGAGAGGTTAGATCGGTGAAGGAGCGTAATTGCGAATCGGAAGGAGGAAGAGGGGACGATGATGATCCTCCTGGTAGGGATGGTTGTCCGTCGGGATTGACATCGTCTCCACGCAGCAAGTCCACCGATGGCCTAGGAAGTTTCTTGTCTCGATATTCGAACCGGGTGCCCAGCAAGGCGGTCTTTCGTAGGGAGCCCCTTCTCCTGCGCGTTCTTCGGTGCTGTTGAATCGCATTCGACATTGCCCTTCCACCTCGCAAGCCGGAGCCGAAATCGCTGCTGTCGTCTCGCTCTATGCCCGAATGGCTTCGTTCTGGGGCGTTCTGAGTCGCTTGGATCATTCGCAGAAATGAGAGGCGCGAAAGTAATGAGCCGGACGAGCTGCGCTTGTGGCCGCTGCTCGCGCTCCCCGAGCGCACCCGCCTCGAGAGCTGATCATTGTTGTCCAGCGAGAGTGCCGCACCTTTGCCGTCGCTTGCATCTTCCATTGGCGCAAGCTGGGCGCGACTAGCTGGCGGTTAGCACGCCCACATCCAAAACAGGAGGTTGAAAGAGTCGTCAGGGCTTCTCATGAGCAGCGGCCAGGTCGGGGACGGGGTGAAGGGGGGAAAGGATAAGCAAGTGGTGGGTGGGCATCGGCGGCCAAGAAAGGGTCCAGGCGGTCACTCGAGAAATTCCCGGTCCCATTCTCCACCTCCCAACTCTATAAGGAGAGAGAATTTATCCGCAGCCACGGAGCGGCTGTGTTGGTATTAATAGAAATCGATGGGCCTCGACTTTGGCACGGTAGAAATAAAGTACAATATTATCGTACTGATTCCCCCCTCTGACACATTAGCTACTTCTACTGAAATAATAGAGAAGATTTCTTTGCCTTTTACTTCAATAGTGGCCATGCACTAGTATCCTGGTATAAGGCATCCAAGAGCAAGCCTCTTGGGGTTCACTAACAAAATAGGTATAACATCCGAAACGCCAGTAGCAGGGTGTGATCAAGGAGATTGGAAGATCACGCTCAGAATATCTGGTAACACAAAGACGAGGCTCAAGTACGGGGGAAAAGCGTGAAAACCGCCAAACATCACACACTAATCGATAGGAGATCAATATTCATTTGTCAAGAATTGGCCAAAGAAACGGGAGGAACATGGCTTCTCGATCATTGGAATGAAAGAAAGAGTGCGCACAGCCATCTGAGCATCAGGGCTCCTGTGCGCAGGCAGAAACAGATATAGAGCTCTTTGGCAAGCCACTCATACATACTTAACGAAATACGATACAAACTGGGAGAGGTGATAATTTGGACAATAGACCAAAGACAGGGCTCGAGAATAGCATGATAACAGAAAATACTTTTGGTTTATTCCGCAGAACGCTTGAACGGGAAGCCCAAGAAGCTTAGTAGCCTTTGATCAAAGTCACGCACATTCGTTCAAAGAAAAGAGCATATGAAAAGTTTGACTCAACAAAGCGGATTTGGGGTATTGGGTGTACGATAACACACAAATTTCATTTCAAAAGGAAGAGTTTGAGAATGGGAGATGCGCTTAGAAATCCACTTAGTCGGGGCTGTCATAAAGAGAAGAAAGTGAAAATGAAAAGGAAAGGAAGAGAGAACGGCGAGTGAGAAGATTAAAAAAAAGGGGTGGAAGGGAAAAAAAAGAACACTTCCGCTTGTCGCTGTTGCGGCTGCCAGCAGCGATACTACAATGTCCGTGCTGGCTGGCATGCAGTCAGGATCGTTGATCAACGGCTACGCTTGGTAGCCGCCGAAACCATTTCCAAAGTTGGCGTTGTTGGGCTGGTTCCAGCCGGAAGTAGGCGTGGCTTGACCGCGGCCATAGCCAGCATTACCAGGGACCTGGCCATAACCTTGGCCTGCCATGCCGGACTGGTCCCAACCTCTTTGGGTCGGAGTAGGGCCTGTAGTTGAACACATTAGCGAAAAGGCGCAGAATCTTGACAATAGAAGAGAGGTACCTTGAGGAGTCATGGGAGCGCCCGGACCGCCGTACTGGGGAAAGTACGGGGCTGGGGTGGAATTAAACCCCGAGTTGCTCTGCTGACCAGAGAAGTTGTCGAACTGGCCGGTAGGAGGACGGTCCTTGCCCCACTGTGACAGTTAGCAAGGGAAACATTTTAGAAGAGGCATGGGGGAATGCTCAAAACATACGCTGCACTTGAGGGGACGACCATTGACGTTGTAGCCGTTCAACTGGCAAATGGCCATGGCGGCATTCTCATGCGTGTCCATTTTGATAAACGCGAATCCACGGTCGGCCTGCAGACGGGTCTCGATCACGTAGCCGAAGTTCTGGAAGAGTGGGACGAGATCGGTCTGCGTGGTGTAAGGGGTCAAGTTACCCACATAGCACGTGGTCTGCCACTGTGGGGTTTGCTGGACGACCATGTCGTAGCTCTGGATGCCGTGGGTAGGGAAATGGTGATGACCGAAGGCCGTGGTCGGCGTCATCCCCATGGCGGCCATGGCCTGCTGCTGGGAAATGGAAGGCTGACCCTTTTGGTTGGCCCAGTTGCAACGAATAGCGCGGGAGCCGAGCCACTCCCCATCCATAGAACTCAGAGCCTTGTCGGCGTCAGAGCGCTCGCGGAAAGCAACAAAGCCATAGCCACGGGACCGGCCAGTCTTCATATCCCACATAACACGAGCCTCGGATACCGAGCCAAAGGCCGAGAAAGCCTGGAGAAGCACCTCATCGTTGACTTCATTGCTCAGATCTCCGACGAAAATGTGGAAGTGGTTAGACGTATCCTCCTTGTTTGTGCTGTTAGACTGGTAGGCCCAGTTCACACGAATTTCCTGCAGAGATCGTCAGAAGCAGTCCGATATTATGCATATGTACGTGGGCTTGCATACCGACTGGTGGATGCGACGTCCGTTGAGCGTCTGCATGGCCCTCTCGGCGGCGCCCGGGTCGTCGAATTCGACGAAGCCGTAGTTGTATCCTTTACTGTTGAACTTCTGTAACAATTAGCATGAGGAGGGGAGTTATGCAAGATATGAGGTGCTCCGCAGCAGCTGCAGCAGTAAAGTAAAACTTACGTTCTTATCCGGAATGATCTTGACACTGACGACATGGCCAGTCGTTTCAAAGATTTGCTTCAAGATATCCTCAGTCACCCGAGGGTCGAGGCCACCGACATACAGAGCCCTCTTGTTTGGTTCAGGGGCAGCGCGGCGTACGAAACCACCAGCGCTGGTCGGGGACATCATGTTTCCGGACATGGGAGAGGTAATGGCGGTCGGGATGGGGTTGGTGTTCTGAGGAATCACCACAGGCGGGCGGNGAGGCGGCGGCATGTGGGAAGGATTAGCTTGACCATTGCCCTGAGACGCATCGTACTGCTGGTTGGGAGCAGCAGCAGAGGTTTGGGGGGGAGGAGGGAGGGTCGAAGAGGTAGAGGCGGCAACGTTGTCGGCCATTGTTGAGAGAGGTCACGAGATGCAAATTTACAGAAGAACCGATCGGGTCAAACGAGCACAAATTGCCAGATGGAAAAGGACGAAGAAAGCGTTTGACGGGACAGCAGGAGGATGAGATGCAATCTTTGATGACGGGACGATGCAGGCGTTACGCAGTCAAAATTAGAGTAGGCGAAGGCGGAAAACGACGCGGGGATCGAAACACCCAGGTCAAGATGGAAACTGGCAAAAGCGCTAAACTAGATCATACAATGGGGACCACGATACGGGCGGTAGCTAGAGCGGACGATCGCCGTCAAGAAAACGACGCTGGAATGCTTCGAGAGGCTGGGAAGATTGCACGGTGAGGTGCTGGAGAAGCGGGCGACTCAAAACACAACGGGAGGTTGTCGTTTTCTCAACCAGCCCCAACAAGTGAGCGAGGTGGCAGCAGCAGCAAAAGAGCTTCAGATTCGGGCAACCGAAGCCGGGACGGAGGTGTGTTTGAGGCAAACGCAACGGTGGAACAAGAAGACGGAGGGAAATAGAAAAAGAGCAAAGATGAAAGGAAAGGGAAAGAAAAACAAAGGGAAGAGAAAACAGATGCACACGGGCTCACGAGCTCGACAAACACCTGGATGAGAGAGGATGGAGAGAAGAATGGAGGGAAGAAGAAGAAGGAAATGGGGAAAGGAAACAGGGGAAGAAAAGCTGCGATGATCTGACTTGACGGGAAGTTTGACTGGAGAGCAGAACGAGGAGTTTGGATGGTCAAGAGCCGCTCCGGGTGGGGGGCGCGCTAGCCCCTCTTGCGTTAGTCCTCCCTTGACGGGCCTCGTCTTTGTCCCAGCAAAGGCGCTTATTCTCCATCATTTGCTTCTTCTTCTCCTCCTCCTCCTCTTTCCCTTCCCTCCCGCCTGATCTGTTCACCTGCCCTCACGTTGGACAAGCTCTTGTCGCGTCCTTGCTATTTTTGTGTTCGCTGGCTTGGGCAGTCTTTGCGCGACTTCCCTGCGCTTCTTGCAATCCCTCCCCCTTTCCCTAACTGCCTGTAACAGCTCTTCTGCTCCAATTGGTTTTCAGGTACTACCGTCAAAGAACCCGGCACCCGCTCTCACGGACCTTCTGAAACCGTCCATTCACATCTAACCGCGTACCACTGGCTCTCATCGCTTTTTGATACTGCTAGTGAAGGATCTTTCTTTTCGAATTTTAGTGTCAATCACGACCAATCGGACAGCCGACGGGTCGTAAAAACCCGCCTGTCTATCACTGTACTACTTTTATAGCCATGGCAGCAACAAATTTCTCAAATCCGGACTCGCTTGACGTTTTGACGTCAATGGTCAACCAAACGGTACTTCTTTATCATAATAGCCCCCCTGCAGTGCAAAAGCCCATGTTCTGACTAACTCCCAATAGCTTATAGAGACCGGCCGCTTTTTCAAAACCGGGGGTTCCATGCAGTCCAGGGCCCAACTCAAGCGGTCAATTCCCACTGCCCATGAAAAATTCCAGAGTGCACTAGATAATTTATCGGAGCAAATAGTAAGCTAGCAGCAGCTTCAAGATTTTGCGACCTGTGCTTACCATCGTCAGTTTATTGCCAAAGCTTTCCTTGAACGAGACTACGAGGCAGTCCAAGCCAAGAAAGCCGTCCTTCAGCCCGTTGAAGATGTTGTTATGAATGAATCGAACGTTAAAGTTGAATCAGAGTCGACATCACAGCCTTCTGAACAACCAGTGACCGACGCAGACACCGTCCAGCCTAAGACGGAGCCAGCTGACGATACTCTTGCTCCGAAGCCCCAGGCCGATGCAAATGCTAGCCAACCAAGCGATCAGCCCGTCAAAGTAGAGAAGCCCGAGGAAGATGCCGCTGCTGTGCCTGCAGCACAGCCCGTTTCTGCGTCAGGCGATTTCAACTTCGATTCCATGCTAGCCGATAATTCTGGGACTAACGATTTCGACCTGAACTTGGACTTTGGAGATGATGGCGTGGGAAATGACAGTTTCTTGTCAGGCTCTAATCTAGCTAATGCCACCAGCACTACCAACAATGGCAACGGGGGTGAACCCAATCAGTCAAGCAATGCTCCAACGGCTTTGCCTGGTACTGAGAACACCCCCGTTCCCGCACCGATGGGAGGGGATGCATTCGATCTTGAACTACAAAAAGCCGAAGCATTCACTACCCAGGGGGATAGCTCAGGGGAGCAGCCGTTTGATGGACAAGGTGGCAGTAACATGGAAGATGTCATGGCACCAGGAGAATCTAGCTTCGACGATCTGTTTATGGAAAACGATAATTTCGGGGGGGATGGAGCTGGAGACGCTAGCTTACTAGATGGGGATGGGTTGGTCAACATCAACGACCTGGATGACAGCTGGTTCACTTGATATCCCCCGCATGAACGTTGCTGGAGAGATGGATCAGCCCCCTTCGCACGGATAGACAAAAAGCAAACAGCTATATGCTAGTCGGGCGATAACATTCCAAGTGGGATGACGAATGTCTAGAACCATAACATCATCAATGAAGGCGACTGCTTCCTTCTACAATGCAACTTCAGTGTCATCCTCCATCACTGATGAGACACCCCTCTAGAGTGGTCAATGCAGTCAATCCGATGCCTCGCCGGAGGGAGCATTCCCATTTCTACGATTACCGAGCCGCCAATCGGCAGATCAGACGATCCACTCTGTAAGGGGGATGGGTATCGGTACCTACCTGGCAACGGAATGACGCAAGGCACTCCGAAAGTGGAGGAATGTACGGACCGGGGCACGGCGGAGCTTATCTCAGTCGGCAAACTGACGTGAAGGCGTTTTCAACTTTAAGCCCGATTAGCTCTTCTGTGTGCAAGTGCTCGTCCGGCTTGGCTTCATTGCAGCTAAGCTGTTTCCTGCTAGTTCGGCCTCGGGATAACTACTGACTGGGTCCTACGAGGGGGGTACAGTCCCAATAGTTTGGCACGGCAATGATTCTCGTTACACAGATAGTATGGGGTTCGTGTCTGGCCCAACTTTAGCCCCAAAACGACATGAATTAATCGGCTACTTTCCTGAGATTTTCAGAACAGAAGACAACGATCTACATTATGATGCTGCCTATGGGTAAATAGTAGTCCGTATGTACAAGTAAACACAGAGGAATATGCTGAAGTCAACGTAAAGTCAGGGTTACCCTGTGATGATGTCATCCCTGTGATAATGGACTTGTGTGGAGAACATCATGGGAAGCCGGTGTTGATGATCGAGATCGTCTCCAGACTGTCAGAGTGTGGTAAGCTGAAGGCCCGGAAGGTTTCGCGCTGACTAAGAGCAGGTGAAATTGTCCGGACTATCCACTACTAATTCATAGTAACCTCGATCAACGGTGTGGGCTGACATGTCGATTGAGGCTAACAAAGCCTTCCGAAGAATCTGCAAAATTCTGCGGTATATCCGTGCCTTGCCGGTCTAAGCGATTGACTACTTGGAACAATAGATATTGCAAGGCATTGATCCGGACAAGACTCGGAACTACAGGTGGCGGCGGCCATAAACGAGGGTGACGGCGAAGGCGACTGTGGAACCGTTCCCGGGATCAGGCCATGGATCTAGAATTAGACTTCTGCATCCAATTCTTCAAGTCGGAACGAGAAGTCGGGAGTGGTTTTTGGCGACCCGACGGAAGCCTGAGGGGAAAGTTGTTTTGTGATCGTACTGAATTGTGAGGCGATAGGGGAAGAAATCCACCAGATGGAAGAGGGGAGAAAAAGGTATGCCCCATCCCCCAGGCAAGCCAGGCAAGGCCAGGTCAGCCGGGAAAGGCACACCAAGCCTCAAACTACCCAGAGATCAGTCAAAATCCTTCCCGTTCGCGCCCCGATGATATCACCAGCACGGCCAAGGATCCCCGCATTGACAACGAAACGCGGCAGCCTCGCACGAAGCTCTGGGATTGTCACGAACTGTGTCCCGGTGGATCTGACCGCCTCATATCCCGGTCTTTTTTACTGGGAGTTAGATTTTCAAACTTGACTTCTGGAGATGGAGGGGTGTGTATGTATGAAGTCAAGGGAACAACCGGCTATCATCCTGATGATCCTGAACGAAAGGATAGACAATCTTATGACCGAACTTGCTTGGTCTCCAGGCTGTGCCGGAATACCCGCCCTCTAAAGCCTCAGAGTGCGTTAATTCGGCCCCCGGGCACAGCAGATCAGACGTCACTCTTTTCAGTCATGGCCGAGGCCTGGGCCCCCCTCTTTTCACGCTAACGATTCAGCTAGAGGGACAAAGTACCATCGAAGATATCTTTAGTCTAGGGTGTTCTTTTCCCTCGTACCTGGACGCGAACCGCACCACTGCCCCGTTTTCTATCACATGGAAAAGATGGGGGAGGGAAGGTAGCGAGACATACCGTAACCACACCATCAGTTCAAGACTACTACACAGAAAGTGCACTTGAGGAGAATAATATCCAGTAGCAAACATGTGCTAGGATTCGGTTCACACATCGTAAATCAGTATCGGGTCCGACGGACTGACAAAGCGGATTGAGGCCAGACCTCCATTGTAGATAACCGGAGTGGAATAGCTCGAGTAGTAGTTTACCAACGCTGGTGGTCCCCTTTCCATGGCGCCCATGTTCGTGCGGAAAGTCTGACCGCGGGTGGAAAAAGATTCAAGGACAGTCGGTCCCAGGTGGTTCAGCGAGGAGAATCGCATTCATTGGAGAGAATCGAAGGCAACTTGCGGATCACCGGATATGACTGAACCTACCGACTTTCCCCCTCCATCCGCGTCATCATCTCTTCTTGTCCTGCTCCAGCCTGGTTCAAGTAGTAGTCCTTTTCCCTTTTCTCCCCCCGCCTTGTCTTGCATTTAAGTATCTTGTGCCCAAGGAACTATATCCGCACCGCCTCATTCTTGTCCGTGTCTGTGTTGTCATTGATGTCAATGCTGCCCTTTCGCATGACATCCCCCCCCCCCCCCAAGTCGATGATTGACTCTCTCTTTTTTCGCCCCAACTAGATACTTACTGCTCCTCACACGCCCTACCCCCCAGACATATCCCATTTGGGTCATTCGGTGTTTTGGCTTTCCCCCCGCATCATCGACCAATCTGGCCTGCTTGACGCTACTGAAAACGGTGATCCCTTCCTTCGCGTTTGAACGCTTGAATACTAGGGACTTTACTTTTCTGCTGCGCCGCGGTGGACGTGCTGCTCCTTGCGCCGTCGATCATCTCCCAAACTCAGAAAAGATCCCAACCCCAAAAGAGGCAAAGCAGGAAAAAATAAAAAATAAATAAAAATTGATCTTAGGGAAGAGAAAAAGAAAAGAAAAAAGGAAAGAACGCTACGAAATTAAGGACAGGAAACTGTGACGCCGTCCCAAGGAAAATTCCACTGGTCGCACGACTCGCTGCAGCTGGGACTGTGCGTAAGAGTCAACCTGAACTGAATATACTTCCCCAAGCCCAGTCTTCTACTTTCTCCATTTCGGTAAGTCGTCGATTCATCCCAAAACGTGCTTGCTTCTTTACTGCTTTACTTTTTTCTAATTTTCCCTTTTCCCTTCCTTTTACCCTTTGGCCCTGCTGCATTCCTTTCTTCCCTTCCTCTTTTTCTCTTTCTATCCTTCTCCTTTCTTCTATCTTCCTTTATTACTCTTCATCTTCTACCTTGCGTCTCCCTTGGTGACATCCCTCGCAATCCCGTGTAATCTCTCCCCTCTATACATCAGCATACTACATCCATCTTGGGTACCTCACCTGCGCCTCTCTATATCCGTCTTACCCGTGGTTGAAAATCAGCCTATCCGGACATCCGGCAGTCATCTTTTGCCTTTCCTCTTTTTCCCTTAGGGTCTTCATTGCGTCTGGCAAATAATGCTCTGCGATTGGTGCTTTTCACGATGACGACTCACATCTCCCATCTCGAACAGGATTTATCCGGTTCCGTGACCACTACAACTAGTGCCGTCTCCCACCTTTCCTGTGGCGCCCCCGATTCTGTGCCAATTTTTCACAGTCTCTTGAGGTTTCGTTCCGATCATCGTCGGTCTTTAGAAACTTCGAGTGTAGTTGGCGACACTGTTGCGGTCGAGCAAGTTCCACGGCCAGGCCATCGGCGGCGAGCGTCCATACTTAGCAAGCTGGCGGGTCCGCGGGAAAACGCAAAGCGATTCCTCCGCCTGGGGACCCCTATCCACTTGACTACTACCCTGACGCCACCCACTCCCTCAATGCCCGAAACACATCGCCCTCGTCCGGTGTCTGAGATCTTTCTGTCCCCCGATGATGCACAAATGCTTTCCAGCACGGGTTTGAGGACGGGCAGGCTGCGCTCCCACTCTTCGTCGACTGTGTCGGCGTCCCAGCCTTCCCCGATTTCGGCTCAACCGGCAATCCCGGCGGCGGATCCATCGGTGCCGTTTCCCACACTGCGCAATGAGAAGATCGTGGCGACCGGCAGTGGGATAACTGTTGGTGTTGCGCTCACCGAACCCGTTCTGTTTCTTCAGGGATATGATCATAATGATCCCAGCACTAAAAAGTCCGCCATCTTGCGCGGGCAGCTGCATCTTAAAATCACCAAGAGTGTCAAGGTCAAGAAGATCTCCATTTGTTTCCGCGGACATGCTCAGACCGATTGGCCGGATGGTATGCACCCACCCATTGTTCTTCCTCCAGGTGGCGTCATCACTAACGCTTTGTCTCATGTAGGCATTCCGCCCAAGAAAGTCCACTTCCACGACAAGAAAGACCTCGTCACACATGGCGTCATGTACTTCAACCATGGAGATACTGCGCTAATGCAGAACGACTACGGCGCGCACTTCTACCAGCACGCCAAACCGGTGACGTCGGTGACGGGCAAGGATGGGCCGACCACCAGCACTCGGGAGTTGCTCTCAAAGACCGGCTCGGCGACCTCGTTGGGCCAGAACGGCCAGCTCACGACCAAGGATCTGAAGCGACTGTCTTTGCAGTCCAATCATTCGCGCAGTTTCGGCAAGAATGACGCCCCGCCGCCCCCGGTTCACACTCAGCGCAACTACCGGTTGTTCCCTGTCGGTGATTATCTGTATAGCTTCGAGTTTCCCATCGATGGATCTCTCCCAGAGACGATCAAGACTGATCTGGGGTCTGTTCGGTACGATATCGAAGCGATCGTGGAACGGGCGGGTGCGTTCCGCCCCAACCTGCTGGGTACGTTGGAAGTGCCGGTCATCCGCACGCCGGCAGAGGGCTCGTTGGAGCAGGTCGAGCCGATCGCCATCTCGCGAAACTGGGAAGACCAACTGCATTATGACATTGTCATCTCGGGAAAGTCATTCCCTCTTGGATCGCAGGTTCCCATTGCGTTCAAATTGACGCCGTTGGCGAAGGTCGAGTGCCACCGCATCAAGGTGTATGTGACCGAAAACATTCAGCACTGGACTGCGGACAAGAGCGTCCATCGGTTTCAGCCAGCGAAGAAGGTGCTGCTTTTCGAGAAACGGGCGGACTCGGCCAGTACCAGTACCTATCCAGGAAGCTCAATGCGAGTGATGGCAGGTGGTGGTATCGACTGGGACCGTCGCGCGGCTGCTGCGAGAGGTGAAGAGATTGTCGATCGGAACCGCACCAACCTCCTTGGAAACCTCTCCAGCGACGCGGGGGTTGGCCCGACTGAGATGGAGTTCAACGTTCAGCTTCCCAGTTGCCAGGAGATGCGCAACCGGGATGAGTCCCAGCGACTGCATTTTGACACCACGTATGAAAACATCCAAATCAACCATTGGATCAAGGTATGTTCTCATCCTTAGCATTCGAATCGCTCGATATTAACGTGGAATAGATTGTACTGCGGCTGTCCAAGGTTGACGAAAGAGATTCGGGTAAGCGAAGACACTTCGAGATCTCGATCGACTCTCCATTCCACCTGCTTTCTTGCAAGGCTACACAAGCGAATATCTACCTACCAGCATACACCTCGCCCGACTCGGAGCCGCAGCCGCAGGCTCAGGAGTATGAATGTGGTTGTCCGGGGGCGCCGCCCGTCAACAGGAATGGCTCTCGGAACGGCTCCAGCCGGCAGTCACTGTCCTCTGACCGGGACGAGGTGCCACTCGGCGGCGCAGTTGCGAGAAGCTTCACCAATGGTTCCGGCGGGCTGGCTCGACCTCCCCAGGCGCACTTGGCGGATGAGCCAACCGATCGAAATCCTGCGCCGCGACCGATGCATCTTCTGCGGGCGCCATCATTTGCACCGCCCGCCTTTGAGGAAGTCCCGCCACCACCACCACTCGTGACGCCTCCCCCGGAGTATAACTCCATTGTTGGGGATAACGACAGAGAATCGGTGCTGCAGGACTACTTCTCACGGCTATCCTTTTACGAGGAACATGCCGACGATGATCGGGGCCGCGGACGAGTTGATGTGCCTCTGACGCCAGGAGGGCGTGTGAACCGCAGCATGGACGTCCCACGCGAGTGGGTGCGTCTGGAGGAGTCGGCCGTCTAAGATTGACGAGCCGCATTTACGACGCTTATGAGGATTGTACTTTTGTTTTAGAGGACGGTGGGAGTTTGTGATACAACCGGCGTTTGATCCTTCCGGAGCAACGTAGGCTGGCCTCCTATCTGATTTATCTGGTCTTGATTGGATATGGCGCCCGAGGAACAGGGATGTATTTGTGGCATTGTTTGAGCGATCTTCCTCGTTCCTCGTACTATATACATACTGTTTATATTATGTTTAGATACCAGCTGTAGCAGATACAGCAGATGCATGGATTGAGTTATACGTTCACTTCACTATTGGATTGATTCCCCTCCCTTGCGTAAAGTATAGTTCAATAACTCCTACCCATTGAAGCCAAATCAAACCTAGAGTGCAACAGCGGTGAATGCATCGAAGCAAGTGAGCAGTCGATAAGTAGATAGTTATAGAGAGTAAATATTGAACCCGCCCGTGGTGGCGCACCGCCCGCATAGAGCTGCCTCTTTCGGCCAATCGTGCGCTTATCCACCTCAAAGTATTTAAATTTGATTGACGCCATCATCACCTGCATTTATTGATCTGTACCACCACCTCGTGCTATTCCTTTTATTTCTCCCCATTCGACGACTAGAACGCATCATATATAATATCATATCAGCCACGTTCTAGTCCACACCGCTTTCGACTGAAACTTCCTATCTCCAGCGGGTTGAAGTTGTGACTGGCTATTAGCACAAAAGGGTTAGAGTTGCAGTGAGTACTACCATCGACAACTATAAGTATATAGATACCTAACAAATGAAAGGAAAATACGAGAGAAAGAAGAAAAGAGCAAAATGCCCATCAAAGTAACAGACCTCACCGAGGCAGATATTCCCGCCGCCATTGAGATCATTCAGACGGCATTTGCGGAAGATCCGTATTTCAAGTGGGTGTTTGATGCTGAGAATGTAAGTCACTCACAGATAAAACATACCCGAACGAGGTCGATTCTGAGCGTGTAGATGATGATAAAGAGAATTGCACCATGCTAACCAACTCTTCAACTTTCCCATCAACGCGGTCGGTTGGGGAGATACCAACCGACCGGTATGGGAATTACCTTTCATCTAAATGATATAGTTCAACAAACAACGGAATCACGATTCATTAGCCGTCCGATGTCGCTGGGGAATTAACAATGCCATCTTCCAGGTTGCCAAAGACATCAGCACCACCACAGAAGCAGGAAAAGAAGGGAATGAGAGAGTAGTCGGCGTCTCCTGCTGGCTCCCACCCCAACCCCCTCACATGCCCGAAACCTGGTACAGCTGGACGCAAAGCTGGCTACTCAGTTGGCGGCAGATGCTCAACAACGTGTGGCATTTCGGCCGGGGCGGACTGCGCACGAACCGGTACTGGATCTGGAAGGAGCGGCAGCATGAAGCGCAAAGCCAGATCTGGGATGATCCGAAAGGATACTATTTTTGCAACATAGTGGCAGTCCGCCCCGATTGTCAGGGTTTGGGGGTAGGGAGGAAGCTTTTCGAAGCGGTGACGGATCGGGCGGATCAAGAGGGCGTGAAGTGTTATTTGGAGAGTTCGAGGAATGTGCCCAATGTGCAGATTTATGAGAAGATGGGGTTTGAGATGAGGAAAGAGATGGAGTGTAGGGATGGGAGGGATGTTTGTATGGTGAGTTTCTTTTACTATCTATCTATATGGTAGTTTCTGTGGAGGGGGAGGAGGAGAAGGGAGGTGGAGGGTGAAACGGGGGTGTTGCATCAGATGGCTAACTTGCGGCAGCTCTATTGTATGGTTCGTGAACCAAAGTCCAAGTCGGAACAGTGAGGGGCGTTCGATCGATTCTAGAAACTAGATGGTTGGATGTACTTTGTAGCAGGTTTGTTTGAGGAGACAACAATGATACAACGGATATTGAAATAGATTCTATGAGTAGGCTATTCAATGATTAGATAGATTAGATATATCATTGGTCAGTTGATTGGAAAGCACGGACCAGTATTACTTACTCCTCCCACTGAAGGTAGCAGCATCCCTTGACTGCATTCATTGCCTTTATCCAGGTACCTCAAATGGAAGGCTAGCAGTCATCACTCCCTCATTATCAATCTACCACAACCCTCACCATGGACAACTCAACCCAAAAAACCCGCCAACGCATCCTTCACCAAATCGGCGTAATCTTTCCTATCCTCCCCCCCCCAGAAATCACCTCAAGCACAATCCGAATCCTCGGTGACATCCCAAACAGTATCCTAAACCCTAGCAATTACCTAGAATCCATACATCCCTTCATCTCAGCCACCGAGGAATCCCTCAAGAATCTTCACCCAAACAGCAAGACTCTTCTCATCGCCGCTAAAATCTACCGTGGGAAGCACTCCTACTTTATACTCGACCTCAACAATAGAGACTATGGCTATGAAACTGCCAATGAATGCAAGGCATTAATCCCTGTTTATGTCATTCGCTTATCGAAAAGACAACCTACCATCTATTTAAGACGGGTGTTGGATGAACCCATCGCGAAGATTTTTAGGAACATGCATAATCTCATGGTCAGGATCCGCTACCTTTGTTTGATAATCATTATGATGAGGATATGCAATACCCGAATCCGCGCAGGGCGGAATGGGAGTTTTGAGGTGGATGGGTTTGCGATCTTCTTCTGGGGAACCTTTGACGTGAATAGAGAATGGTGTTGTCTCATGCAGCTGTGTTGATGCCGGTGTCGTACATTTGTGAACTGCATCTTTTCATCCAGTATATGCAGTCCAGTGGGGAGTAGTCAAACTGACACCCTAAGGCATCCAGCCATATGCAGCATAGGAAGAAGGCCAAGGCCACGCATAACCATGGCACAATCACTCCGTACTGCGTTTGTAGCAGGTTTGTTTGAGCACATGGTGCGGCAGTGTGAGACGAACACCCAACACTTCGACGAGATCCAGTAGCAGTATTTATGCCTCGGAACCCAGCTAGCTTTGTGTCAAAAGGCAACGAATGTAGGCATGTGGCTGGATTTTCAGCAGACTTTAAATATGGAAACCCCGATATTGAGTGGACCATCAATGGGCCATTGAGAATTGATCATCTATATTGACCACGAGTCTATCATCTCCTCCTTGCAGTCCATATTCGGGTTTCTGCAGAAAGCAACAGCCCCTTATTTCCCTTCCTGGCCAAGACCCGGGGAAACGGATCCACGGGTGGGGGATCCACTTGGTGATTCCCATTCTTCGTATGCTGTAACGCAGTGCGCCCGTTGCCAAGTCTGTTTCTTCTTTGTTTGATGTATATATTTTGAGAGGAGATGTATTAAGAGGATACTAGTATATCTATGTATATTCTTTTAATAGTAATATCTCATATATATATCTGTATAATTATTGTAGAAGCACAGATAGAGTGATAAGTATGTGGATAACATCCGAGTCAGAACCCAATGATCCGCCGTTTCATAAACTACCGACTAGCCCAGTCGATCATCCAGGCCGGACAACAAAGTAAACTATCTGAACTCACTAACAACTGTGGTAAAGTTTCTAGGACTCGATAATGGAACCGCCTAGACCAACCCCCCTCTTCCCTCCGTCAGGGGGTTGGTTCAACGTTCAACGTAGACAAGTTCGTTCCCAAGCCGGTGTCTCGACTTGATTGCCCGTCAACTAGCTAGTGAGACTAATTAGGGTTGAATAATAAGCCGGGACGAGAATGCCGAAGATACTACCCTTTTTTTTTCTTCATCCTGGTTTCAGGAGAAAAGTATCTTTTACTTGTTTATACCAAGAATTAGACTAGACTAGTAGACTTAGAGGTGACCCTTTTTGTTGGTACTTTAGGGTGGGGGTGGATATATCAACTACTTTTTTCTTTCTTCTTCTTTTTTTCTTTCCCTTCGATGTGTTTTTGATTCGATTCTGTGCGCAGCTGGTCTGTGATATGATTACAATTATCATCTCTTTCTCTCGTCAATTTGTTCCAAAACTACGGACTATAATAATCGTTAACATTAATCAACTATAACAAATGTCGACATCTTCCAACAACCATGATGTTGTCTACCACGCCCATGAATATGACCCTCGCAGCGACTCAGCACCAACAGCGACAGAACTCACCATCCAGGCGAGGGTAGGTCTAGCTCTTGGTATACTAGGTATGAACCATCTGTAACCTCCACCCTATTGCCCTATCAAAATATTCTAACAACATTATCCATAATAATAATAGGAGCAATAATGCTCACCATAATCCTCACAACCCTCATCGTCCTCCGAATACAGCGCGGTCCAAGCATCACTCTCCGGACACTCTTTTCCCGAAAGCCCATTCCACCGAGGGAAGGAGACAGGGGGCGGTTATCATTATCGCCGTCTTCGAATATTCCTTGTTCTTCTTCATCAGATGAAGAATCTCAGCCACCGCCGGCATACACCCACACCCACCCGTTGTCAGAACCGATACCGGGAACCAAAGGAGATAGTATCGTCCAACAACCACAACAAGCACATCTACCCCCCTCCCTTCGAAAAGAACTCAATCTCCACATCGATACAAGCCATACACCTACTACTGCTATTGCTACTACGAAACCTAAACCAACACCCCTCAGGACAATGTCTGATACAGCGATCCTTAGATCATCATCATCTGAGAAAGATAAAGAGGCGCGTTCGACGTTAGAGGTGCAGATCCACCACCATAATCACCCGTATTACAATCGACTGAGAACGGGGAGCCCTAGGTCACCTGCAGGCAGCGGTAGTGGCAATCGATCAGACAGATTGTGTCCGCCGGACGAGTATGCAGTCCCGCCGGATAGTCCTGACGTGATTGTTTTGCCGTCGCCGAGGGAGTTGCAGAAGTTTAGGATTAATGTTTATCGATAGGATTATATGTTTAGTATGGCATGATGGGGATGGTTTTGGTGTGTTGGATTGTTGGGATGTGACTTGGGCTATGTATATGGTATTCATGTATGTTGATAATGATAATGATGATGAGTACTCATGGGATTTTCATCGGTGGTCTATGGCGTTTGGTGATGGAATTAGGGATCGAAATTGCTCAGTGTCATGGCTTAGTATATCAGCTCTGAAGTGACTGTCATTGACTCAGTTAGTAGTCTTATATCGAGAGATAAAATAGTATACTGGATACGTTCCGGTGTTTTGGTTCTTTCAACTACTAGTCTCCAGTCGGTTTGATGATTTCTGTAGAAAACTAGTAAGTAGTAGATCCGTGAGATACCATAATCTAGTCAAGTCATAGTATTCCCAGCACCCCAGAAATAAAGTCTCACGACGCTGGAGCTGAGTATCCAAGGAAGAGTATACCTCAGCTAAGACATTGCAAATATGAAAGAGTTACAATGAATATCATACGTGTACCTGAAAGGTCCATTCAATGACTTACCATCTCTAATCTACCCAGACACAATCAAAAAGTGAATACAGAGGACATTCTACTCCCCTTTGATTAATTACAATGAATAAGGATCAGTCTAGTACTACTACATACTACATATAACATATATGGGTATAGTGGATAGTATTGATTCCCTGTGTGTTGTGTTGGCTTGGCCTGAAACTGCGTAACATTCATACTTTATTCCAGCGGCTATGAACTTAGATCATTCCTCATAATGAATAAGGTAGCTAGATCTTCGGACAAATTTCCCAACGGCTGATCAGGACCGGGTATTTAGATTAAGCGGGTACCAATCAGGGATTTGAGATGAGGTGGTCATTCATTGTGAGGTTACACAGGATGATATCGAGTTAGTGGGTAGTGTTGGATCATCCATGTATGCTATGTTTCAGATTATTCATTGCTACTCACTTTTATGAAGTTTATATTGGCTTGTGAAATGGACTATAAGGGGTATGCTATCGAATAGGCTTGGGTTGTAGTATTCCTATAAGCAGTAATATGTTAGACCTTGCCAAGCTGCGAGCAAGGTCTTGTCTAGTCTGCCTTGACATGACCGACAACTTGAAGGAAAGCGGGTGAACAACCCAGCCAGGCTCTGACTATTCCTACATGCACGACTACCCTCCCACAAGCGGATATATAACTTCAAGTCACTTCCCTATATCAGACATTATTGATTGGTATGCCGCCGGATGGGAGATTCAGGACCACGATAGTTGTAACAGTGATAGTCTAGTCCATGTCTGTGAAGCTGCGTATGTTTCTTTCACCGTGAACAGCATGCACGTGGCGCCATGTGGGGATGCACGTCTAGAGCATCGCGCCGTCTGGTGCGTGAATACTATCATGTCCAGCTTTATAAATGGGGCTGGTGCTCTAAATTCTTTTCTTTTGTTTCTCCTCTTCTCACTCATGCACAGTTGTGATTTTCTGTCTTTATCGTTGACTCTGATCACTGAAACTTCTTCAAGATATCCTGTCTGCACGTCATCATGTTCATACTCATTCTCTTCCTCGCCCTACTGGCCCAGGGTCTTACCATTCCCCGCTCACCCACGGGCAACATCTGGCAGCCCAGAGTAGGCGCTTCATGGGACATTGTTCTCTCCACCAACGTGCCCCGTCCTGATCCCACCACTGAAATCTATGACATCGACATGTGGAGCAGCGAGCCCAGTACCGTCGATGCCCTCCACAGACAAAACCACAAAGTGATCTGCTACTTTTCTGCCGGAAGCTACGAGCCGCACAAAAAGGACAGTGCCTCGTTTCCAGAAGAAGCGCTGGGCAATCCCCTCCATGACTGGCCGTCGGAGAGATGGCTGGATGTTCGCCATCCTCAAGTGCGCCGGATCATGGCAGCCCGATTGGACCGAGCACAGAAACTGGGCTGTGATGGTGTTGATCCAGATAATGTTGATGGCTACGGGAACGATAACGGGTTTGGCCTGAAGAAACAGGATTCAGTGAACTATATCAACTGGTTGGCTGGAGAGGCGCATAGTCGCGGCTTGGCTATGGGGCTGAAGAACGCGGGGGACGTCATTCCTGAGGTTTTTGCGAACGTGCTGTGGAGTGTCAATGAAGAGTGTGCGAATAGAAACGAGTGCGATCTGTATGCTTCTATTGCAAGGGCCGGGAAGCCGATTTTTCACATCGAATACCCGAAAGGTACTGACAGGAATGACAATGAAGATGTCGATCCGGAGGAGAAGAGACGGCACTGCGAATTCTCCAATTCGGGACTGTTTTCAACGGTTCTGAAGAACATCATCCTGGATCGTTGGGTTCAACGGTGTAACTGATACTGTTGTCTGCCATCTTTCGGTGTATTGTGATTTGTTTCCATACCAGCTGAGCTGGGTTGTGTTTATGCTGTGCATCCTATCCTCTGGATATGAGGTGCTTAGGAGTTTGCCACCAACAATATGATATTGTTTGAACCGAAACTTGCATGCTTACCGGTATGGTGTTCGCCGCTCTGGAGTAAACATATCGTTCCGGTGCCTTGATGGATTAGGTTGATTGCTCCTATTTCGAAGCAGACACTGTATTTCATTTGTAACAGGATCTTCAGTATCAACACAGCAGTAGCTCATATCTGCCGTCAATACCATGCTCAGCATAATAACCTGCAGACCGATTAGCTTCTCGTAGAGCCTGGCATTCGTGATGCAATTGGCTCGGCGATACATGCTATAGGCGATCTCCGAACACTCTAATGCTTGACGAATATCACATGGATCTGCTGCGACCGTAAATTAATCCTGGTGACTAAGTTTTTTCACGTGCTGTAGAATTGGCAGCCGTTATCACCTAACGCCACCGTTGGCAATGGTATGAGCTTCTTATCTCGCGCACGGCCCTGCAGCTTAGTATGCCGGAACGAACTAAATAGGGTCCAGAACATCTGCTGAGTAGTAAGCGGGATTCAGAAAAGCGGCAGCCTAGAAGAATTATATTTCAGTAATAGCAACCACCGCCACCAAGGTCTTTGATAGCAGTGCGTCGAATCAAGAGTTTTCCGATGTAGTCTGCTAGTCATCCACCAGATACTGACCGTCCTGCACTCAAGACACGCAAAGAGCATGATGTGGCTAGGGTCATAGCACCCCCGCACTAACAAGCAAGGAAGAGGACGTGCATGCTACGCATGTAGGTGTCATGTTGGCGCTAGCTGTTCCAAATGACCTGGCTACCGCGGCTAGCCTAGCCCATGCTAAACTGCCACTCATGTTCGACATTGCTGCAGATACGAACAGACGTGCTGGATTTAGGGCGACACAGTAGGCCCTGCTTCAGTGCTATCGCTGCATAGCGTACTGCTGGTGACTAGAATGGAGCTCGGGCCTGACTTGCCAAGTCGATGCTTAGCGAGGTGTGCTTGATACATGCTGGCAGATGCAGCTACCCCCGCCCCAACTGACATGGGGAGATAGCATGGAGACCTGGTTGCATGACCAGGCAAAGAAAGTACTGCTCAAGCACAACCTGGGTCTAAGCGCATTAGACGCATGACAGATTTATGGACGAATTGTATCGAAGAAGGTCGCAGATCTGTGAGTGTTTCATCGCGTAAGATAGACCTGTAAGCAAGATCTGCATCAGCTGTATTCTTCAGTAGAGTATCAGTAAGTGATATGAGCCCGTTTGTCCGATAATTTACTCCATACTGATCATCATCCAAAGAGGTCCTCGCACGCTCACAATAATGGGATGTGTATATCCTAGTGATCTGGCTGGTTAAAAAACTTACCTTCACCGTCTTTCACATGCCATTATGCCTCGTAGACTGCATGAAGGATTGTTAATGCAATGGATACCTATCTTAGAAGAATGCTCCCAGACCACCTGCTGGTTCTGAATCGCCAACCTTTCCAGGCTAGCCATAACAGACGTAAAGGCAAGATAACTTCGAGCAGTCGACAATTGACGGCTAGAATGCTTCCTGAACTGTAACCTTGACGACCCAGTTGTTGAAACTGTTGTGGGAACGGACTGGAAGGATCGGGCTGCATGCGAAGGATGAGTAGAAGAGGTGTAGCCGTGAAGTAGTCAGTCATCCCAGATCAGGTGACGCCAGTTCTTCAAGCCAGATGTTGTGTGCTCTTTGACGGCATATTGATTGAGTCCCCTCTTGTAGCCCATTCAGACTATACTTCTGCACCTATGGCACATACTGAGAAGAAGACCGGCAACATGCCTCTATATTTGATTGCGTGATGCTAAGTGCTGATCTGACCAAACCTGAAACTTCATGACGGATCTACATATCGCTAGTCTCACTGTAGTGGACACTATAGTGGATACTATACAAACATAGGACCGAGAACTCCGAACCATCCCTGCCATCTTATTGCTGTTTCAGCTATTACTCAAGATCCACCCTTCACAGCCACCGATAGTCCGGGTGAGTATATATCCACCTTATCCTACCTAAATATCCTACCCAGACTTTACCTGATACTATACCCGGCTGCTTGACGCCAACGGTCGCAGATCCCCCTGAATGACCTAATTGCCGTTAAGCCACTATTCATTGTTTGCTACGCCAGGAAGCTTGACTTCGGTAATGCACTCGGCAGTCAGCCGGGGATAAGCATTGGCCCAATCATCTGTCATAATACCTAGCATGACCGTTGTGGCGCATCGACAAGCTTTAGAAGCAACTCACTCGTGACGAGAGATCGCAATAGGACAAGCATGGAAACTTCCACGCACGTCATAGACGCAGTCCTGGCCTCAAGCAAGGAATGTAGAAGTCCGTTATATGTTCCCTGTAGTCAATGTCTTTATGCATGCCAAGTATCTCCGAAGCTACTTACTGGCTGTTCCCTTTCAGTGTCCCGGATAGATGGAAGGTCTTCCCTATCGGCCTGGTTGAGATAAGAGAAGAGGAGTCCCGGAGTCGACCTACAATAGTAGCATACCGCATGACGGGTAAGCCGGTATTGATCGCATTATCATCTACTCTCTAGTGTAAGAGACATCACCGAATAAGGCCAAAGTGACAAGCACATTGCTGGGATATGGGAATTACCATCAGCGAATCAAGTCCAGCAAAAGGACCTTAATTTGCTCAACAAATCCCAAATATGTGCTAGATAACGGACTTGACAAAATCTCGGGCAATCAATCAACACCCAACTCCGAGACAGCTCGATGATTCGTCGATGAATCAGGGGTCCAATGGGGTAACCGATGGCGAAAGCAGCAGTAGCAGCCGGTCCGACCCCTGCCATGACCGTTAGTTAATCAATGCAGAGATAAGCAGGCAGACGAGGAATTGGACAGTGCTAGACTAACGGAACTACTATAACGTTAGCAGAAGAACAGCTTCCCGCCTAGTCATGTAGTCTAATATATGTTGACTCCCGGCGGAAACTGGACCAGTAATGGACAATGGCGCACCCTGCTGGCTCCACAGGCGATAGCTGGAAAGAAGCCAACGCTCACCTGCAGAGGACCGAGTGCAGTGACCGATGCACTTTAGCAGAAAGCCCCGGAGGAGTCCGTAGGCTTGATAATCGTTGCCAAGCGTGCTTGATTAAAGAGCCAAGACTATCATCGGTCGGATAGATCATGGCGATGCATGAGATGACATGATTTCTGGCTCGGATTCGGCCCGGACTGCCCGTGCCTCGGAGCCTTGGTACAGAATGGAATGTGATCCGTGGCTGCAATTGCTGGGATGGACCCGGAGTGGCTGGATGTTGAAGCGGAGAACGGGAGAAAAGACATTTGATCTGCTTTGTCGCATCCTTTGATAGCAGTTGCTCTATTCGAGAGGGGATTGGGCGGAAGGCCAAGTGCTTCCGCCTACCAAGTCGAGATGTCTGGAGTCAGAGGTCCAGTTTTAGGACTCACATCTGAAGTGGGGATGGATTGCTATGGCTGGTGGATTCCAGCCCCTTCCACCAGCTCGGGTAGTACTGTTCTTGGTTAGTGGCCTTGACCACCAACTAGAATTGTTCTGTTGGATTGAGACCCGGGGTGACGACTACCCGATCCAAGGTGAAAGTGAAGCTCGGGTAAAGAGAAGAAGGGTCTCGCCCTCGGTGTGTTCCTTGAGATGATGTAAGTGGGAGGGAGACTGACGAGACAGGCGACAGCTGAAATAACGGGATGCAGATAAGAATCCTTTCATAAATACCGGTATTGTTTCAACAGCATAGTTTAGTGCTATTATGCGCCTTACGTGGCTTTTAAGATCTAGGGCCACGGTCTGTAAGCCGGGCCCTGCAAGGTCTTCTGTCCGTCGTTGCGCGCCATTTACTACTACTGACATAATGAAGAGGAAATGGGAAGAACGAGACGAAGACGGTAAAATTCTCCAGCAATCACCGCCGCACTATAGCAATTGGGTAAGTATGTGGCAGTATCAGATGCAATTACCCAAGCGAACCACCAGGCTTGGGCAGTTGAAGGTACTTTGATCGGTACTTTCCCCGGGAGCCGTTAAATTCCCGTCGAACGTCTTGGCTATTTATTCTGTAATAATGGACGTAATATTATTGCCATGCTCTAACTAGATCCTTTTTTTTTTTCTCGGGTCGATGTTTGCTTCGCATTCTATCTGCCTCCCTCCCCTCTCATTTTCCTTCCCCCCACTGTATTCCTTCGCGGTGCGTTTCAGCCAGACACGATGGGAGCGCCGTGCCGACTGGGGCCAAGCCTGTCCGGCAACCTTATCGACCTTCGACGACGAGCGAAGATGACGGACAGACTTAAGAACGCATGTAGACTCCCCCGCCCCCTCACTACCCGTCGGATAATTCCTTGCCGTTGGATCCAGGGTGATTGGGGAACTGCACCGGCGACGCGTCCCTCAGAGGATGTTTCTTTTGCCGAGAGGGAGCAGCATCCACATCGGGTGGATAGATAGAGAGCTAGACGGTTGGATGGGCAGGGCGAGTCCCGTTAACATTAAAGTACCGTGGCACGGCTCAGAAGTTAAAATAATATTACCGACTCCCAGCTATAATAACAGACTTCCAGCCCGCCTTACCCCCAAGACCTTCCGGCCATCTTGAAGCAAACAATCAATTCTCTAGGACCCAGTGCGGTATGAGGTCATACTTGCATGGGTGAACTACCGGCTCTGCTTGCTTGCCTCTAACCCCCGATGCTTGCTCTACTTTGTATCTTCTCCGGTCTAGGAAAGTCATGCCATGGTGGCCCTGATAGGCCTCCTACTCATTCCGGTAATCAAGCCGCGGTCCAGCCCATATTTTTTTTTTTCGGAATATAATCTATAGGTTCGGAACAGACGTGGGGAGAAATTCGGAAGTCGAGGGCGGTCTTGACACCGGAAGACTGTTAGGAATTAGGAGATGCAGCTGACTGGGTATCCTCCGCGCTCGTCTCGAGAATCCCCCATATCTGCGGTATGAGTGGTGGACGGACAACAGAGTTATGCCGGACTCCCTGGTTTGCGTCCTATGATAGAGAGCATAGGGCATTCTAGGGACGGGAGCTGAACAAAGAAGGGAAATGGGAAATGGGGGGAACACAGAACAAAGGGCAGGGGAGGGGTTGGGAGGGTGAGGGGAAACAAAGGAAAGGAAAAGAGGAAAAAGAAAAAAAAAAAGAAAAAAAGAAAAAAAAAAAGTAAGATATTGGAAAAAACCATAAGAGAATTAAAAATTGAAAAGAAAAGTGAAAGCGCGGAAAGGAAGTGAAAGTGGAGAGCGAGGGGGGTGGAAAATCGAATAAAGAAATAAATAGAATTGTAGGAAAAGAAAAAGTAACAATCAAATTGCGAGATTCTATGGATTGAAAGACTCCAAAAAATGGAAAAGAAAAAGTAAAACAAATTCTTGGTTCAGAAAATTTTTAGAAGGATTATCCCAGTCAAGCTGAAATAATAGTTGTTTAGGTCATACAGCAGCAGGAATGGAAACGATGTGATCGACAACCCTTCACAAACTGTTTGTTCGATCTTGTCACGACGTCTGAAAGTACTATGCTGCCACTTGGCGAGTTGTCGAGGCGTCCACGCCTAATCGTGAGTAGCACGAAATTGCGCATCCGTTTTGATCCGTCTCGGCCCTCCCACCTTGTTGTTCCTCGCTGGGGTACATGCAAGGTACTAATCAATTCCCCTCTGTAGAGTGAAGTAGGAACACTCGCTGGCTCTGGTCCCTGGGTTGGCTGAGGTCCTATGGGTGTTTGGTTGTTGCTCCGCAGTCTCCGTCCGAGCCGCTGGTTCCTCTCCTGTCTCGTCTTTGTAGCATGACTGCCTGGAATTGTCGAACCGACCGTACTACTCCGTATACGGAGCAAGGCAGGAATAGTGGCCTGCGACCGCCTGCATGCCCTGCAGCAAATGCATCATCGGCCCGAGAGTAAGTTCTGTGTTGGAAGGAAATCCATGCGCACTAGCCCTTATAGGTGGGCTGAGGCAGAGAAAAGGGTTCCTTTAGCACCGCTCGGCGACCAGTGATTCGTCGAGAGACAAATTATTCTCACCAGCTCATGACAAATTGCGGTAGCCGACCACGATAGTCGTTGGGACTGCGGGAATATCAATGGCTGCGGCCCAAAATTTCCCACCATCTCCACCCGAGACAATGTTGGTTAGCAATCTGGCATCTCCACCATCTCATGCAATATTCTGATTAGCGCCAGTCGTGCGTGCCGGCAAATGTGTAACCACGGTCTGTCACGGATGCAGGCCGCTCGAGGACCACATTGGTCTGGAGATGGGATGTACCGACTAGCGTGGAGTTTGTCGTCATTGTTTCTCTGTCTGCCCTCCCCTCCCCTCCGTTGCCAAAGAGATACATGTTTTTCTTTTTGGAATGATCTACTGCTGTTTGTTTGACGGAAAGTTGAAGCAGCCAGTGGAGAAATGCATTCCAGCCGCTTTCGCATTTGCTTGTATTGGCGAGCGTGAACTGCAAACGTCACATAGTCCCGGTGAGAACCTTGAAATCGGTGCAACCCCCCTCGCAACGTCTGCGGAGGTGGAGGAAGAAAGGCAATAGCCTGGGGTGCTAGGAAAAACCACCCGCCCGGCTAGAGGGCCACTGGAGCTCACCTTTCGGCCGGTCGCTGTCGAGGCGGAGGAGCACAGACTCCATCTGTCCCCCCAGTAGGTGCAGGACGATACCTTCTTGGCAGGCAACGGGCTGCGTTGCAGGCCTCTGCGTCAGAGTCCATGGTGAGTTGATAACTAGCTAGCTGTCCCTAGCGCCCCCAATTTGGACACCTTGCGAGCAGGACAACCTGAACCCGCACAGGTCATGGCGGGTCTTGTGTAGCGTCTCGACAACTCTTCCGCTACTCTTACTCGTCCGTGGTTTCTGTATCCGGAGCAAATGGTTTCATCCGTTCTTTCAAAAAGTTCCGAACGAAGAAGCACATGTGCAGAACATGTGATGCCCTCTGTAGTTTCTGTGCGATTTCTAGATCGGCGCAGTATTCTCCTTCTGCGAATCCCGACGGCCACGACAGATGGGTACGTCGCCTTGCTCTTTGGTTTGCAGCAAAGAAAAACAAGCTTCATTTTTGGAATCAAGCAACACGGTAAGTGTTCAAAGAGAAGGATGGGAGTAAAAAAATGAGATAAAAGACACAAAAAGTAAGGTATTAGTAAAAGCAATCTATCAAACCGGACACTCTTTTGGACTCCTCCAAGCGCCATGCATATAACGGTACCCAAATCCGCAGTATCATAACCCGGGCTTGGCCTTTTAAGGGCCTTGATATCAGTAATGAGTAAGACAAGCAAGAAATGAAAGTACAGGATCAACGATATGTGCACAGGAGAAGCGAAAATAACATGAAAATCCGCAAAGCGGGATCGTATAGAAGGCATAATAAGCCAGAGTTAAGATGGAAGACATGAAGGCGTCGTAATGAAGAGTGTAGCGTCAGGTAGGCTCCGATATAGTCCCCGGAGGTAATGAAGCCAAGATGCGCCTGCTTGGATTGGGAAGAGGACCGTCGCTCCAGGCCAAAAAAGGAAGGTCGCACTGTCGTTGCCGCTCGCGATTGATTCATGGTTGATGCCATTCATTGACGACAGAGCATACACTTCCCAACCACCACAATGAACCTGTCATGCGGACTCTGTGAGCATTTGGTGTCTTTGGCTCCATCGACTGACGTCCGGATGAAATGTGCAGCCGGGTCACGACAGGAACTGTAGATGTAATAGTTTTTAAAATAATTGCACATGTTCCTCAAGTTTCGATTTCAACGGGCCAGGAAACGCAGTGCAATGATGATGAATGCAGTCGATTGAGCTTCGATCAGACAGAGGCGCTTTGCTGTATGCGGGGAGGCCAAAGATGAGTTTCGGGCTGGACGAGGATGTGAAGCAGTGGAAGGATTTAGAATTTATCTGGAGCATTGACGAAGGCTCGTGCTTGACAGTTTCTCAAGAAGCTGTTGTCGACCTTCAAAAATTGACCTGGACCTGGAATAATATATCCCACTTCATGGTGGGCAGTAGTAGGACCTGTCATGCAAGCACCAGGGATAGGAATTTAAGGCCCATCACAAGCCCCGTTGCAGCAAGGTTAAACAGGGGGAACGAAAGAAAAAAAGAAAAAAGAATAATAAAAAAAGAGCCAAATACAATTTAATTTCAAAAATAATTATTCTTTAATTATTCTTTTTTTCTGCTCTCCCCAATAAGAAAATAGGAAAGGATAAAAACAATCAAAAAATACAAATCAAAATGAAAATGTCAAAGGTGTGCCCAACAAAATCAATTTAGGTTCTCATCTATTCCCTTTTCTTTTTTTTCTAATCAATTCCAACCTTTTATTATAGACCCGCTCCAGGAACCTCAGGGCCGTTGAAGCCGTCCGGAGCAAACCTTGAGTACCGCAAGTCCCTGTCCCGATGCGGGTCCGAATCCATTGAAAGCGCATCAATCTCCTTTAAGGACAACCATGTTGTCGCAACTACAAACTTTGAAGGAGCACCGGCGGATACCGTTCCACCGCGATGCGAAGCCCCATCTGCCGCGAATTGATCGGGTCAATGGGAGATCGACACGGTCCCTCGCAGCCGTTGATGCTTCACTTGCACGTGGCGCTAACTAGGATCTTCATGCATAGGTACTGGTGAGACTTTAGGGGAAAAAAAAAATCATAATTCTTTGCTTGGGCCTCAGTCAGAAATAGGGCCCTGCAAACACGAAGGGGCTGTGAATCTGTTCGGTCTGCAAAAATCTAAGCCCGTGCTTCAACAAAACCCGTTCCAGGGAGTCGCTCCAATTGGCTAACAGAGATAGCCTCTACTCATCCCGGGATAGCCAGATAGATGCATTAGCCAATATCGGGTATGGGGAAAATCGTAAGTTAGTTCGTCAGAATAGTGGATCATCATTGGGCAATGCGGAATATCATGGTGCCTGGCCCGTCCTGCTGCTTTGGATTGACTGACGTCTTTAATTCCCTTTCACTGTTACATCGATCAACCTGCAACTGCTTGTCCTATTGTCAGCTCCATCCCATTAATAACTTTATCCACAAGGTAATTTCACAGCATGGTGCCACCACCATCACTATGTAGCTCCGACCAGATGTCCGACTAGACTCGGCCACATGTGGCGGCAGTGCAGGCCTAGCGATACGGCGGAAGCCTGTAAAGGAATGTTCTCAGTCAGAGGGAACCTTGCGCCAGCCTACAGGAAGTCCAACATTAACCAAGACCAATTGCAATTGGAGAGAAGGCCAAGAGACCACCCATGCAGAGGACTCGCAATCACCATAGTGCTGCTTTTTGGTACAGCCATGATAAGCTTTCAATTCGAAATTTGCTACCCTTGCTCGATGGGTAATCAGAATGGCCGCTGCACCGAACTCACGCCGGTTTGCCGTTAATTGTTGGTATCGTATGCGTAAGCTTCCGGGAGATCGGGGAGCAACGGTGCCAAGAACATAGTGGGATCCTTCTCACCTCAGTTATTGGCGTTGGTAACTCGCTACTCTTTGCTGGCAGGTGAGAAACAACAAGACTATCATGGAAGGATCGGGTGCTCTCCGTAGGCACACAAGTAGGGAACAAGTGCCCACTCAGATGGTCCCATATGCAGAGAGTCTCGGCCCATTGCCAAACGGGTATGAACCTAGTTAAGCGGTTAGCGGGAGACTGTTATCGGCAAAGGGGTGTGAGGTATTTTTCCCCCTACCTTTTTCTTTGCTTTTTTTGTTCCCCCAATTTCTTTATTTCCCTTTATACAGATCTGCCATCAATCCAGGGAGGCGTTGGCAAGTATTTTGGGTTAAGCAATCGAATTTCACCCATTAGACCAGGGTACAAGTGGCGAAAGAATCGACTTTCCTGTCCTCGGCAAATGTGATTCGATGTGTCGCCTGCCTTACGTGACCGGGACAGAGCAAGGTGGTAGTTTGCTTGACGGGGGAAAGCCGGGACGGAGCATGAATAGATTAACCCAGTGGGAACCCAAATGGAAGGTAACAAGACCCATTTGAACGGAGTGTAGAGCAGCACCTGTGAGAGAGAACTATGGTATTAGTGACTAGTGAGACATTGAGAGGGCCGAAGGGGCCGCAATAGGTGTCCGCCTAATGATGATGGGGAGCTTGATCCAAGCCCGAGATAGGATGGTGTGCGGGGCTAAAAGGAGTTCCCTGGTGGTTTGCGAGTCAGAACCACGGCGCATCGTTGACAGCGTTCCGGCAAGAGGTCCAAGCTCGGCATTTCCCGAGTTGGACTTCGGAGGTTAGGCGGGGAGGAGGATAATGAGGGGCCATGCATGCATCGCACTCAATTCTTTTTTTTTTTTTTTTTCTTCCTTCTTTTTCCAACAGTAACTCTTTCTCGTTCACTCAATCACTCTCACTCGCTATATCCTCCACCTAGTATAATCCCGACTTTCTCCCCTCATTTCCTCACCCTGGTCAATAATACCGCGGGGAGGCCGGGATTGTTGCCTGGCACCATTTAACCCATATTTCGGCTAATGAAAAAAGGGAGAATCTGAAGTACCCTGCGATCTTCCCGAGATGCTCACAGAAGGCCTTTCTGAGATCAAGGGGCCGTGTATCGAAGAGTGGGCCATATGTACTACATGTACCTACAGGCAAACTACTGCTACTGACTTATGCATCTAACTGGGGTCTACTTCCTACTTTAGTACTACTACTGCCCCATACAACCCGCGGACCACATCCTCGATCGCTTCACATACAGTACTCTATACCAGCCACAGAAGTACGAACGGAGGCCATTAAGGAAACGGACAAACGCCGAATTCCAGAGTACTTTAGTGCAGGCACTAAGGACTCTCCGTACCTAAATTTGTAGCGATCCTGCTAGTTATCTATCTACGACTGGCCAACGCAGCCTAGCTACATCATCGTTAGTCTGCATGGCATAGATACTCCAATCCCGGACTAAAAAAAAATAGCACTATCAACAACCTTCCCATTGTAGCTAGCGCGGCGTTCTACACAAAGTAAAACCGCATCTGGGGAGATGCGCTAGTCCCAAACTAGCAACGGCTCCCCTTTCCCCCAGCCTGAATCCCGATCAGGCATTAGTGCACCCCGTGATCCTGCCTCATCCTGGCAGTTCAGCGCCCAGCGATCTTTTCCCACAATCTCCCCCTCCCCCCCTCTCATTCCCTCGTTGACCCAATCGCATCGTGGTCCTGTCGCTTTCGATAGGTTCCTCGGCGATATACTATCGGTGCTGCTCATCCTCAGATCTTGCTCTGCTGTCGCTGCAACAGCCACGTCATTCGTTGTGATCGCCCTCCGGTAAAAGGAGGGGTCGTGCTCTTTGGCTCATCTGGAAACCCGCCCGTCGTTGTGGAGACCGGTTGGATCCGCCCATCTCGTGCAGGTTATCAGTCGACCCAAACAATCGGACATCACACAACCCTCTTTCGTCTGTTGAGTCCAGGTGTGTGTGTGTGATATTCAAGATGGGTTTTGGCGATTTCGATTCGTTATGCGAGAAGGCTCCTTTGCCGCTCTGCTCCCTGGTGGGTCCACCATCTTCAATATCGGGCTCGACGGGCATCATACCAAACTGTTATGCGCGAAACATTGAACTGGCCAATACCATCATCTTCGAAGGGGCCTCCTGCTTCCTGCACATCATCGCGCTGGGGATGACCGTGATTATGATTTTGCATATCCGGTCCAAGTTCACTGCTGTTGGTAAGTGTCCTCACATTATGTCTCTATGTGTCGCGGTGCTGGAGTCAAGTGGCCCCCCCGAGAACCGAACATCATTTACCAACATCATGTTATCACAGGTCGCAAAGAAATTATTACGTTCTTTTACATTTATATGGCTCTGACCCTATGTTCCCTGATCCTTGATGCAGGGGTTGTTCCACCTGGAAGTAGCCCATTTCCATACTTTGCAGCAGTGCAAAATGGGCTGGCGTCGGCGCTATGCACATCCCTGCTCATCAACGGATTTGTTGGTTTCCAACTCTACGAAGACGGAACAATCCTTTCAGTCTGGCTTCTTCGGCTTTCTTCCGCGGCGATGTTTGTCATCTCTTTCCTTGTCTCTCTCGCGACCTTCAAGTCATGGGGAGGCCTGGGTCCCACTAACACAGTTGGCATGTTTGTCGTTCTGTATATCCTGAACGCCATCTGCATCGCCGTGTATCTGGTAATGTCACTGTTACTGGTAATGAACACCCTTGAGGACCGCTGGCCTCTCGGTCACATCGCTTTTGGTCTTGTGGTCTTCATCTGTGGTCAGGTGCTCCTTTACGCATTCAGTGACACCATCTGCGATAGCGTGCAACATTACATGGACGGTCTTTTCTTCGCCACGTTCTGTAACCTCTTGGCGGTCATGATGGTGTACAAGGTACGTATTTCCATCATTGTTCCAGAAGACTAAAACCCTGCAAGGTTTCTGACACGCACCCCTGTCTAGTTCTGGGACTACATTACGAAAGAAGATCTCGAGTTTTCCGTCGGGATCAAGCCCAACACTTGGGAGGTCAAGGAACTCCTCCCGGATGAGGATCGCCGGCAGACAGGTTACTACGCTGATGCAAATTCGGAGTATGCCGGGAGCATGTATCATCATCGGACGTCGACCTATCACGGCCATAACTAGTGGCCTAAGACTTTGAGTTATTCCTTCCTTCAGCGGCCCACTCTCACGCCAAAATTGCATCTTCCATCCGCCCGTCTCCGAACGACTGCCTGTCGTGTTTCCTAGTGTAACTCTAATTGCTGCAATCTCATGCAATCATTATCAAATCTAAGCATAAATCGGCAATGTGGGTACCCTTAGAGCGAAAGTTAGGTTTTCATCTTGGCCTTTTCTGTTTTCTCACCATTATTACTACTATCAGTTTGGTCTGTGACGTTCACCGGTATTTCCGATCTCTGTCTTATGGCCCAATAAAGAGCCTTAAATGTGAGTGGAATTGAAAGATACGCGTGATCTTTTACCAACATTCACTTTTTCTACTTTTGGTCCCGCTATCGGCTCTCCGCTGTCGTCAAATAAGAGACTGAGGATCGTGCCCCGCGCCGGATAAACCTTTAATCTGTTGACACATTTGTTTGATATCTTACACATCTTATTCATGATGCATTTCTCTTGTCTTTAATTGTGCAGGATTTTGTATGATTTGTTGCGAAGCTTCCAGACAGCGTATGTAATAACGAGGAACATGAAATCATAATATCACTCAAATTACGTCCAAGAAGGACCCCTTTTCCCATTCTGGAAGTAAAAGGATTCGGTGGGCTAGATACTACATGGGGCACGGTGAACTTTAAGTTAGTGGTCTGATTGAGATTCTAGGGGAGGGGAAAATCGTACATTCTAAGATTGAAACATTGCTGCGCTGCTGGCCAGTGGAAATCAAATCCGACAGCTCCTGGTAAGCCCACTAGAGCCAGACTATTAAGTGCCGGCCGGTCACTCGGAACGGGAAAGCTCCACGACTGTCGGGAAAATCCTTAGGGCCTAGTGTAGTTGGCCTAGAAAATGCCCATCAGGGGGAGGGAGGGGGGGAATGTGCTGTATTTCCATAGGCGATTCTCTGTTTAGCTGCCTGGCTGGCTGGCCCCGCCCCCATCTCCTCCGTCTCCGTCTCCGTCGCTAGTGAGTCTCGTACTAAGTAATAGTACTGGCTGAGGTGATCGGACCCTCGACCTTCAGCCACACGTCTGTTTAACCCAGATCCTTGCAGCGGGTGAAACAGATTACGTGGAATAATCCGCATCAGTCGACTGCAGAGATTTCGATGAGAGAAATCAAATCCTTGTTCCTCTTGGCTTCGTTGATTGGAGAATTAGGCCGATGCAGCTTTCGGGGGACTGCGCTGAGGTATTGATTTGGCAAGACACTCCGTTTGGCTATATGCTTTGGTTTTGGAAGGGTCATAGTGCGTTCATGTCTCATGCTTATTTTTCTTTTTCTTTTTCTTTTCCCCTTTCACTCCACGACCACAACGTCGTCCCCGTCCATAAATCCGCTATCAGTCTGGTCTTTGCTACGGTCATCGTCGGACCGAGGCATGTTCCCGTCCACCTCTTCAATTGGCCCTGTGGCCGTGGCGTACCAGCCCTTGTCAACCGACTCCACCAGCACTTTGCATGCATCGGACACAAGTAAATTAAAGGCCGGATTCTCGTTCGGCAAGAACATGCTAATGTGTGCTTTGATTTCGTCTGCAGCTTTATCGTTCACAGCCCTGGCCCATCGGATGTCTTGCTGGGAAGACGCCGGACTTTCCACTTCCGCGGGAAGCGAGCAGAAAGTGCGATTTTTGGAGCGTATAATCTTCTGGCTGAACGACGAAGTCCCAGCGTTCTTGTTCTCCACTAGATCACTTGCATTTTTGCCCAAGCACGTATAGAAATTAGTGCAGCCGATACCTCGGTCCCTTTGGACTTCGGCAAGGAGTGCAAGGCGCCTCCGTAATTCAGAAGGTCGTGCTAGAGAGCCGACAAATGACAGGTGGGATGATACCCAGCCCCAGCCATCCGTCAGTCGATCTCGCTGTGAATACATTGCGGCCGCCCCGCCCGCAGCCAGTGCTCCTGCAGCTCCTGCAAACATGGCATATTTGCCCCATCGTTGCCATGATGGTGTTGCGGCAGCATCTGCACTTGAAGACGAGCTAGGACCCGAAGGAGGTAGGCTCTTGTTGGAAGTTCTTTCCTGGTCGGTAGAAGTTGCCTTGTTCGAAGAGTTACCGCCACCCAGGCCGAACAAGCCAGCAACTTCTGAGATCGCGGTGTACGCCGTAGTGGCATTTCGGTAATGGCCTTCTGCACCATACGATACGACACCAGGGGCAATCCCTAGGAAGGGGGTGTCGAATGCGATAACACCCTGGATGTGAGGGAACATGAAAGAGTGCGCCCCCACCGCAGATTCAGAATCCACTAGGGTGTCGGTTGCAGAATGTGCAGAAGAGGGTGCAGGAATTGGCTGTTCCGATGCAAGCAGAAGAAGGGTCTCAGCAGCCACTATCCCACCCATAGAGTGGCCGAGCAGAATAACATGTACCGAAGGATCAACTGTCGGTGAAGCCGTTCGATTCGAGACCTCCAGGTCGATGACTTTGTTCTGAAGCCTATGATGGTCAATGGCACGCTCCATCTCTTGGGAAGACTATCGTATGAGCTACTAGACGTACCATTCCCGAAAATTACTCACGCATCCTTTGAGTTCGCCTCGGGTCTCATACTTCGGGTAAACAGTGGCGACAACCTGGACAGCGGGGAGGGCGCGACTAATTAGAGCACAAAAGCGCCCTGGAAACTCCCCAAACGTATCATCATCTCCCTGAGGGCGTTAGTGAGGTTCAGAGTATACACTTCCGCAGGGTCCATGCACGTGCAGCCTCAAACGAGGGAGACGGGCTGGCTGAGAGTGGGTGGAGCATGCACGGTACCTTGAAGCCATGGATAAACACTAGGAGCAGCGTCTTCTTCATCGTATCATACCGGATAACCCGGAAGGCACATTTCCCTTTTTCAAGTTCGAGTAGTTGAACGGCTAACTGATACTACCTCCGTAATATGGATGGATTGGACGCAGGGGAGGAGAGACACGAAGAGAGAAGATCTCGGTCGGCACTGAAATAGGCAGCTACGTCATCGGGCATCCCGACCACGTGACAGGCACTGTGACAGAGAGTGAACACCACAAATTGGTATCACCATTGCACATCCATCACTTTTGCTACCTCTAGGCCGTACGGTGACCCAGGGGGCAGTAAATAAGATGAGACGATTTGCCACACTGGTCTTTCTCTCATTGAGACTTCCTACTACTGCTTGTCGATGTGATTACAGCTAACACTTGACTACAATCATCATATAATGGAAGGCTTAAGTGGTATAAGCCTACTTATTGCTGCTTTAATAGCAAGACACGCAAATTATCAAGATGTTTGTGATAGATCTGAGCAGGTTCTGGCCCTGTGATTAAAACTGGTGGTTATGCAGACCTTCCTTGCGGTAGCCAATGGGCCTTTATATATATTTGCACTCCAACAGCTACTACTACCACTCCAGCGACTTGATGGTTGAAATCGTGGTGAAGACCTACATGAACTTGGATTGCATTGACAAGGATACCATGTCAATCAAGAAGAGTTTACTATTCGAATGATCCACTAAACCGAGAATGTACATGGCCTTTGGGCTCATAGATATTCGCCAGAACCCAAGCACCTTCCAAAAACAACCGCCTTTGGCCGAATCAGAGTTCAGATGTTATACAATCCTTAATCTTTTTTGGGTGGACAGTCGGACGCACCACTTCGAGCGTCTATGTGCATACAACGTGCGGGTTAACCAGAAGCCATATCGAGCATGGATTACGTGAAGAAGATATAGCTAGAATTGGATACTAGCAGTTCACTGCTCAATTTGGTTGACTGCTATTCCGTTGCTAGCTTTCCTTTGATATCGGACTACTGTATAGGATGGGTACATTGATACGCTTGTTTTCAAGGTATAACTAGCGCACAATTACCAGAAGTGAGTCAAGGTCGTGCCGCGGAACCGACTATTTCTATGATTACTTGTCTCCCATACAGCTGCCGAATGATTTCTATTGACTACAATGTGTCGACATTTACGGTCCTGTATACTAGTGCCTTGACTCTACAGGCCATGTTCTGTTTCAAGGATAATTCAAGTCACCCTTTCAAAACTAGATGATTCTCCTAGTAGATATGGTTTCATTATTAGGAGTATTCAGTTTAAAATCTATAGACAACTGCAATCAGCTATATAATTCACTGTATCCGAATGACCCCTGTACATTGTCCCCAATGCATCTAAAAAAGCTGTCTACACCAATCAGGTTAAAGCTTCCCCCGTGAACTCGTCAACCGCAACAAACTATCCTGATAACTCGTAGCCAACAACTTCCCATCCGGAGTCCACAACCAACTCTCATGAACTGCCCGATTCTCCGCAGACCTAGGAGTCCACCCCTCCTGTATGAACCACTTCTTCCCCACGCCCTCATTTCCCTCAGAACCCCAATCAAGCATCCGCAATGCCTCTCCCAACTCATGAAACACAACCGTAAGCATCAAACTCGCCATAGACGACCACGTTGTCTCCCCCAACGCCCTTGGAATCAACAACAACGAGTTCCTATCACAAGCATACATATGCGCACATGCATACAAATTATCAAACTCCCCCGCCTCCTCCCTCTCCCTCACCCTCCTTTCCTCCTCCCCAAGTACCGGAAGTCCCTTGATCGAATACATCGCCAACTGCCGATACCTCTCCGGATGACTCTTCACATCCTCCCCTTGATTGAACGTCCCCATATCAACCTTTCGCACATCCACCCCAGGGAACTCCCTTTCCGTCAAATCGCCAGCCTTAACCCCCTCAATCCACCAATCTGCATCCACGCTCGGACTAACGGGGTAATCCTCCGCCCTCTTTCCAGAGATAATGGACGCATATCGCTCCTGCACAGGTGCAGGCTGATGCGCAAACCCGCTCTGCTTCTCCCCCCGCTTGAAGGAACATAAGCACGAGAAACAGATCTGGTTCGCTTGTCGCACGTCCACGGACCTCGTGCAGTACATCTTTCCGTCGCGCAGATGGCGCACTGTGTACTCGTATGGAACGTCTAGGAGGCCTCCTAGGATGAATGTTCCGCTTACGCTCTGGTGGTGTTGGCGTTAGTCTGTGCTCTCTTTCTGCGTGTGAGGAAGGGGGGGTACTTACGTGGATCACGAACCCCTTCTCTACGGTTTGAGAGGCTGCGTATGCGGATTGGGCGTAGACATGTCCGCCAAAGGCGCGAGTTCCTTGCCCGGTGGGTAGGGTGGTGCTATGGATTCGAATCGCTCGGTTGGCTCGGTGGTACTGCTGCTGGGTGGGTTGGGTAGGCGGCGGAGAGCCATGAGCTCTGCCCAGGAGGATGGGCTTGCGTTGGATGTTGGGTCATGCATTGTGTGTATGTACAATGTGGGAGGGTGTATGGTTGCGCTTATTTGCTGCTGCTGATGAAGTCGTTGATAGTGGTGGTGTCTGCGTGAGGGGTATGCGCCGGGTGGGATGTATGTACCAGTAATGACTGTGATGTCTGAGTGCTTCAATGTGTATATCCACTGTACAGTGCAACGGCAGGAATGTTATGTTTGAGATTGCGCCCCTTTACTCTTCACATGGGAGAATGATAAGGGTGAAAGTGGGATCGTATGTCGGCGCTTGAGTCTATCGATTGACTACTCATTAGCCGACATGGTTCACCAGAGCCTCGGCTGACCGGGCGGAGTTGGTTGGCTACCCGTGAAGCATATTCGATGATCAACATAGTGCCGTTCCTGGTATGCACCCCATATGGCAAGGCTATGCCGCTTACCCTTTTATCTTATTCAGAGTGATTTCTTGCAGTAGGTCTGGATCATCTTTGTTCCATTCCTTGTGTATATCGCTGTTTCAAGGATCCGTGCTGTGTAACCCACCCCGGGAAGGATTCAAGTATTACCGATAGACTGGGAGTTTGTAGCATATCACAGATTTTCTCTAAAATATAGAGAACTGCTCCTCAAAAGGTCATTGATGATCATCCAATCATTTGGAGTATTTCCCTGATCCTAGGATGTTCCAATGCTCAACCTTCATGAACGCATAATGACAAAACTGCCGCAGAAGAAACAGATCACCATCTTTATTGACTAAATCTGCCAAATAAGGTATATGCGCCGATAATGCTGATATGATATACAAAGAAACCCATCCCATAGATAATACATTGACAATTAAATCGTTTTCCATGTCCCAAACGACGAACAATCGCAAAGCTGCAACCAATCCACATCACATTCAAAACACAATTAAAACGTTTCGGAGATGCTACGGTTGTTGTTCCACTCAACCTTGCCATCGACGTGCTTGATTTCCTCCAGCTTGTCGCCCAACTTGACAACGGAGAACCGAACCATCCGGGGATCGAGACCAAGAGTTCTGCGGACAGCCGCTTGCACGGGACCGGAGGCATCGAAGCGCATGATGAAGTGGTGGCCTTCCCTGTAGCGGGCCTGATGCTTCGTCGTGGGCCTGGGCAGACGGAAGGTGCCCCAGTTGGTGAATCCGCGGACTACGCCGCCGGAGCGGAGGACCTGGATGCCGGCATTGCGGGCGATACTGTCGTCTGTCAGTTAAGATTCGTGGATAATGATGGTTTTGCGATAGTAGGATGTTGCGTAAGGATATGAGGTGGTCAGATAGGGTCGGCAGGCACGTACTCTCTAACCTCCTGGAGGCTACCGGGACGGACCTGCACTCATCAATTAGCATCGATCCAAAGCATATAGTGAAAGTCATCCAACAGAAATCGCCAGGAAACATACAACAGCGATCAGTTCGTACAACATGGCGCCGACAAGGTAGAGTGGGGTCTGGACTGTGAAAATAGCGTCGGGGAACGTAAAGGACGACGGAGAACCAAACACGGAACTGGAAGGGGATGAGATTTTTCCGAAGGTCTTTTGCGAAGGCTCGAACTCGACTTCCTTATCAGCACCCGGCTTGGCGCCCGCTATCAGCGCCGGGAATCGCTCTCTCCTCCGTCATTCATATTTAATTTACTTCCCTCTTTCCTTCTTCTCTTCTTCTCTCCAATTCAACCCACACTTCCTCACATTTCCAGACTCTCTCCTCTCTCTCTCCTTCTCCCTCAAATCCAGCTACCCACCATGTCTTTCGCCGCCAGATCCCTCCGCCCCTTCGCTTCTCGCGTCCTGTCGCAGAAGCTCCCCCTCTCTTCCGTCTGCAGGGCCGCACCCGCCAGTTTCCCGCGGGGAAGTGTCCGGAGCTTCTCCCAGAGCCCACTTTGTGAGCAACCCCCTTGATCTCAGTCGCATGAGGGCATTCAGACCTCCTATATTCAATGCAAAGCTAATGGTTGACCCCCGACAGCTCAATTGAAGAAGTACACCGAGTCGCACGAGTGGATCGAGCTCGCCGCTGACGGCAAGACTGGTTCGTCTACCACAGCCCTTTCCCGGCCAAACAACACTCAATTAATTACTAACGCTTTCTTCTACCTCTGTAGCCAAGATCGGCATTACTGAATACGCTGCCAAGTCCCTTGGTGACGTTGTGTTCGTTGAGCTCCCCGAGGTTGATCTGGAGGTTAGCGCCGGTGAGCCCGTCGGTGCTGTGGAGTCCGTCAAGTCCGCTTCGGACGTCCTTTCTCCTGTCTCGGGAACTGTTACGCAGGGCAATGCTGTGCTGGACGACAATGCCAAGTTCATCAACCAGAGCCCCGAGGGTGACGCCTGGATTGCGGAGATCAAGGTGAACGATGTCGCGGAGTTGGACGGACTTTTGGACGAGGCTGCTTACAAGGCTACCATTGATGAGGAGTAAGCGTGATATGTGTGAGTGCGTGTTTGAGTCATGAAGTATTTGGATGGGTGGATGGATCAAGTCTGGGTTTGGATTATATGCGCGCCGCCGCTTCTGTGCCTGGCGTCGATTTTATTATGATTGTTAAGTCATTTGAACTGTTTTCCTTTGTCTTGGGTTTCATTGGGTGTGATTGCTGTGTGTGGATGGTTATGTTTTCACCACATAATGACTGTCTAGAGAGCTGGCTACGTCATGCCGCTATCGGCGGGCCCTTTTATTCAACAGAAGGCTGTCTGCGGTTATAAGAATATACAATATCACTATTATTGGCTTTCCATGACCTTAAGTGGTCATATAGAAGCAAACGGATTGTATTTTTAGGCTCAATTACTGTCTTCAATGAGGGATGGGGCCTGCGATTGAGGCACTGCAGCAGAAGTCTCACGTACTTGAAGCAGATAGTATAAGATCCATAAACGGGGTGTATAAATTGAATCCAGTACCAGCGTACCCCTAGTGCCTATACTATCAAGTAGTAGGAAATTGGGGGTCTCTGTCATTTCGGCACCCCGCCAACTATACAAGTTGCACAGCGATGCATAGTACCACTATGGGAATGCGCCGGGCGGTGAGCTCCCCTCTCCACCGCGGATGGGGCCGAAGGCCAACCGACGAGGCCTGGAGTGATAAGGCTATCCCGCAACATTCCCGACCTCAGGCCCTTGCTTGTCTCCATACTTCACCTCTATACACTTTTGCGCGTGTTTCGCACGTGTAACGCGACTTTCTTCGAGCTAGCACCGAGGCCATTCGGCGCGGGTGCCAGCTCTTGTCGTCATCTGAACATGGCATCCAATCTCCCTATCCCTATTCCTCCGCGCACCCCGACGCCTCCCGCGGATGATCCCCCTAGCACTTCGAACCAGTCACCCCGGCTCCAAGACAAAGACTCCTTATCACCATTGAGGGACACGTTTCCAAATTTGCGGGGCTCGTTAGATCCCAGTGATGCCAATCGCTTGAGTCCTACACGGGCGGGTTTCAACCTCAGCCCAGCAGACGCATTACAGCCGAGTGATCAGAGCGACAATGCTTCAGCAGGACCATTCAATTTCAAGACTACGACTATGGCGAAGAGTCCGGTCGTGAAGTCTGTGAGTCGTTGCTTACTTCCACCTTGGAGTTGATTATACTAATGGAGCCGCCAATGCGACGTAGAACATTGGCCAGCGACGTGGACACAAATATAAGCACAGTAGCATTTCGCATCAGATCTTCTTAGAACCGCCCCCACGAGCGCCTCTGGCTCTGCCCAACTCGCTGCCCATACCGACGTTCAAAGAATATCGCTCCAGTATGTCCAAGGACCAGACCACCCGGTTCTGGTGGAGCGTTTGCCATATGTCTGTTGCCGCATATACCTTGTGGAGTGCCCATGGGTCTCTGGCTATGACGGCTCTGTCGCACTTGATACTGTTTGATTCAATCGGCGCATTGCTCTGCGTTGCTGTCGACATCCTGGGCAACTTTGAAGTATGGAAGCGATCCAGTGTGCGACACCCGTTCGGTCTGGAGCGCGCAGAAGTACTTGCAGGGTTCGCCATGTGCGTACTCTTGCTATTCATGGGGATGGATCTCATTTCCCATAGTCTGCAACACTTCCTGGAGTCTTCCGGTCATGAACCTCACCATACTCATGTTCACGAACGTGTCTCCCTCGGTCGTGTGGATTTCACCGCTCTGCTGGCCATCTCATCAACATTGATATCTGCCATCGGTCTCAAGAACCATGGAAGGATAGGAAAGGCGATGCGGTTCGGGTACATTGAGTCACTGCCCTCGGTTCTAAGTAACCCGTCCCATTTCCTGACGCTATCATGCTCCACGCTGCTCCTCTTACTGCCCCTCGTCTCCATCAAGCTCTACAATTGGCTGGATGTTCTACTTTCTAGCACGATCTCCATCTCCATGTGTGTTATCGGAGTGCGCCTAGTGAAAACACTAGGATCCATGCTTCTCATGTCCTACTCCGGACCGGGGGTGTCCGAGGTGATCCGAGATATCGAGGCCGATCCCTGCGTCTACGGCGTCGACGATGCCCGGTTCTGGCAGGTTCATTACGGGCTCTGCATGGCTAACCTGAAGCTCCGAGTTTCCGGAACCGAGGAGAACCTTGTGCGACTGCGTGAACGGATAGCCAGCCTCATCAAGAACCGGTTGGGTGGAGGGTACGGATCCGGGGGGCAGAAATGGGAAGTTTCGCTGCAGTTTACGGCTGAGAAGGCTTGAACTGGCAGATGTCTTTGCTGTACATATACGATATTTGGCTTCTAATGAAGATATACCGAAATCATTATAAGTTTATGAGAAATGATATCATCTCGCTGTATGTGCCATAGACCCAGTAGTAAATATCTGTTGCTAGAAATAGACCATGTCTCTTTCTTGTCAGAACTCCCTACCTCGTGTCTCCCTAGGCAGCACCACAGTATTGAGACTAGTTGTCTCGTAGCACATTTATAGTTGTTCTCTGAGGAGCCATCCGGAACAGCAGGGCGTTATCTGATTCGACTATCGACCTGCTCACTGGCTATCTATCTCAGCTACAAGACGGCAGTGACCCAGAGATATCAAATATACACAGAGTCCCTCAATTACTCCGAGATATAATCAACCACCGAAACAGATATCTACTACCACTTCGTCTACTAGTAGTCCTCAGCTGGTAATAGCCACACAGCATAATCCCATTATCCACCCGAGTAAGCGTGATACCCAGACCCAGTCCTTCGAACCACTTTCCACAATTCCAGGTTAAATCTCCTGGACCCCCGACGAGAACAACCAACAACAAACCACACCGAAGACACAGTATAGTGTAATGTAATATGATAGAATTCACAACAAACGCAATGTACAAAAGCCTCAGTTTTCCGGCCAGCTCTAGCTCCCTTCCACAATCCTTTATCCTGCAACATCTCATTTCATTTATGCCGCCGCAGCCAAAACACCCGCCTCCTCAGGCTTGCTCAACCCCACCGACTCGCGCTCGTCTCTCCTCCGGCGCTTCTCCAGGATAGCTTCCCGGCGCTGTGCAAGAATTCTCAATTGACGGTTCTCGACGCCCTGCAGCCAGTAACCGAAGCTGCCTCCGACTCCGGCGAAGAGGGGGTACACCCAGAGGGATTCCTTGGCGAGGATGGGACGCATTTCGATGCCGAGTTGCCAAAGACGGACGGCGATGCCTGATCAGAGTAGATATTAGTATGTAGATTATGATATGGCAATTGATTGCATGTGAAAGGACCGGGTGAGATATAGCTAGCTAGGTAGCTAGCTAGCAGTGCGTGCTGGTATAGCAAGGGTGGGTGGTGTGGTGAACATACCGAAGCCGCCCCAGAAGAGGACTTTGTGAACCATGTTTGTGAAGGAAGGAAAAGGGATTCGCGGCGGAATGTGGAATAAAAAGAATGGGAATTGATCGGAAGCCGCAACAAGGTTCCAATGTTCACTTCACGACAACAATTGCGGACCAACACGGGCTTGAATCGACGGAGATGAGGTTCGACCTTCACACACCCGGCGAATCACGGGGCCGTGGTTCCCAATCTGCGTTTCCTGTTGTCCGGATTATCGTTCCGCCGCGGGGCCTGCTTCTGCCGGGCGGTGCCCTTCGCCCTGCGCGCCGCATTTGCGGGTTTATCCCCGGTGCTTCCTTTTTCAAAGCCGTCGTTATCCAGGGCTTGAAATTTTTATTGTTGCAAGCTTGTAACATCTCTCGTCATGGCTGGTCCAGAGGAGATGGTGGATGTGGCTGCAGGCGTGAAGCGGCCTACGACTGCTTCTTCTATGGATCTGGACAGTCTGCAGCGGAAGAAGTTCAAGACGGATGAGCTGCCTTTGTCCGCGGCGCAGCATTCGGCCATTGAGCATTTACTGCACGCGTTCAAGAAGAGGGGTGGGTTTGATTCTATAAGGAAGAAGATATGGTCTGAATTCCATGATGGGGTATTTATTATGTCTTTGATTGCTTTTTATGCTGTTCCATTTTCTGGGTGAGGGTGTGTTGTTTGCTAATGCGCCCCGGTTATATAGGAAGGGAAGATTGAGTTTACGAAACTGCTGATCGATCTTGCCGAATCTGAAATTGATCGCGAACCCGGTCTTCTTTCTCGCGAACGTGGAAAGGCTGCAACCTTGATCGAAGGTGCCGTTGATCGAAGCGATGTCTACAAAACTGTCGAACATACCCTTGATGCGCTAGCCGAGAAACACTTACCGGCTATCCTTGATTCCGTGCGCGATATCCGCCGCGATGAAGTGGGCGAGGTGATCGCCACGCAGGAGGAAACGGCAGGGAACAAGACCGATGAGGACTACGCCGCTCATGTGAAAGCGAAACGCGACGAGCGCGAAAAGGCCTGGCAGGAGGAGCTGCGCAAGCAAAAGGAGATAGAAGAAGAGGAAGCGCGCAAAAAGGCGGAAGAGGACCGCAAGCGACGTGAGTTGGAACGCCAGAAAGAAGAAGAAGAGAGGGCCAGGAGGAGGGAGCGCGAGGAACAGCGCCGCGAAGAGCAGCGGAAGCTTGACGAGCAGAGAGAAAAGGAACGACAGGAACGCTACGAACGCCGCCGCCGTGAAGAGCGCGACAGATATCGCGATTGGCGCGATCGAAGCCGAACCCGAGACCGCGATTCAGATCGTGATAGAGATAGGGATCGTTACCGTTACCGAGATCGCTCACCAGGCTATCGCTCTGACCGCGCCCATTCCCCACGTTACCGCGACTCGCGCAAAGAGAAATCGCCCACACCGAAGGAACCCACGCCTGCAGCTGCGCCAGCGGCACCCCCAGTGGACGAGAAGTCGTTGGAGGAGGCGGCGCTACAACTTCTACTAAAGGAGGGAGAAGAATTGGCAGCCAAGGCGCGACAGAAGCCCGAGTTTGACTTTGAGGAAGCGGAGGCTATCGAGAATGGTCTTAAGCCGCCCCCGAAAGGACCCAAGGCTGACTCGAGATTCTCCAACACTCCGACCAAGGCAGGTAGTCCGGCTGGCGAGGCCGACCCCAATCGACGACGCGGATCAACAGCAGACGATCGCCCCCGGACGAAGAGGCGCGACGAGAGCCGCAGTCGCTCACGACGGAGATTCTCCTCCCGATTTGATGATGACCGCCCAGAGCGCTCGCGCGATGTATCCAGCCAGCCTCGCAATCGCGACTCTGATGACCGACTGGTCCTTCGCGATTTCCGAGATAACAGATATGGTGACCGGAGCTATCGCCCCAGCCGCCGAAGCAGAAGCAGATCTACTACTCGTAATCATGACAGAGACCGAGATCGTGACCGTGACCGTGACCGCGACCATGACTACCGCCGCGACCGCAGCCGTGATCGAGACCGAGATCGCCGGGACCGGGACCGAGACCGGGATAGAGATAGGGATAGAGACCGCGACAGGCCTCGAGACCGTGACCGCGATCGAGACGACTACCGCCGCCGCCGCAGCTACTACTCCCGGTCCCGCTCACGACCTCGATACCGGTCCCGCACACGCTCCCGCTCCGTCCACCGTGACCGTGACCGAGACCGCGATCACAACCGCGACCGCGACAGAGACGTCCGCGATAGAGACAGAGATAGAGACAGAGACGCCCGCCCCCGCGACACAACCGAACGGGATCGAGATCGAGGCCGAGACCGCGACCGAGACCGAGACCAAGGCCGACCCCACCCCCAAAGACGAGAAATCCCCTCCCCCACCCACCCGCCGCGTATCCGTGTCCTCACGACGACGATCCCGCTCGCGCCGACGATCGCGCAGTCGACGCCGCTCGCCGAGTCTCCTCGATATCGATCGCTATGTGCCGCCTACTAGTCGTCGGAGCCGGTCTCCTCGTCGGAGGGTGCGATCGCCTGAACGAGCGGAGAAAGATGAGCGGGATAGACCGCGTTTTGTTGAGATTGATCGGTATATTCCTGGTGCTGCTGCTGCTGCTGCTGCTACTGCTACTGCTGGTAGTGGTGAACGTGAGCGTGAACGTGATAGTGAGACTAACGGTAGGGATAGGGATAGGGAGAGAGATAGAGATAGAGAGAGAGACAGGGAGGGGGATGACAGGAGGGCGAGACGGAGGAGTGTGAGTCGGAGGAGTGATGGGAGGTGATATACCTTGCGGCGTATGGGATATGGCTGGTTTGATGGGGTGGGTGGATGGTGGAAGAAAGGGAGGGATGATGGAAATGAAATAATCATTGTAATATAGGTAATGAATTTCATGGATAGACATTTATTGCTACTATGGACTAAATACTATTGGGTGGTGCAGATGTCTCTTCTACAGGCTATTAATTTCTGTAGTCAATCTGTTTCAACAATACTCGGCTTGAAGTACTGTGCTTGTGCTAGTGCTTTATATTACTATCCATGATACTACTAGTCATCAATTGCCAGTTCATTTATGACCTGTCTATTTAGCTAGAATATAGCTTGGTCTTTAAGTAAAGTATACTATGCTTCAGTGATGTATACTATATAGAGAAACACTACTATCTCGACTAGAGTAAGTAATTGCATACTAGGTAATATCAATAGTCTTACTTGTTCGACATAAAAATCATACCTCCAATCTATTCTACAAACATCCCACACTCACACAATCACAACCAGAAACATACTGTAATACGACAATGAGATAACATCTCTATTTCCAGTTAATAGGTCTACATATGCACATGCAAAGATGGTCCATAAGCCCTTCCATATCAGCAAATCCCAGTCCCTCTCTCTCTCTATCTAGGGTGCCAGCCTATTCACACCACCCTCAGAAAGAATCAAATCATGTCTTACTCCTCTCCACAGCCTCCTTAAACCCATCATTCTCATCATGTCGCTTATAAAAGTAGGCAGTGGACCCCGTCCCCGTGGGCCGTAGTTCAGGGGATAATCGATCGATAATGGTTTTCTCGAGAGCCTTGATAGACCGGTCGTTGGAGCCGAGCTTGTTCCAGACGGAGATGAGATGCGAGTTGAAGCGGACGGAGGTTGAGACACCGAGGACGTGGTCGTGTTCTATATTTCCCCCATTGTCTTGTTAGTGTATGGCCCAAACTTACCCGTTGTGTATCTACTAGACCATAGAACAACAGAACAGATGAAAGAAGGAAAAGAATGACTGACCCTTCTCCAAAACAGCCTGAAACTCATTCGCCATACACAGAATAGCAATTTCATGAAAGAACGCTTGGGCTTTACTCTTCGGAACACGGAAGCGCCAGCACCCCCCATTCCGATTCTCGGGGTCTTCCCAGACGGGTCTCACGCCTTTGCGGAAGATATGGACGGTGTCGCGCAGGCGGATCTTGTCCCAGGGGTAGTTGTTGTAAACGCGGTAGAAGGTGGCGATGTCGGCGACATCCTCGTGCAGGACGTATAGACGGGAGTCGTAGTCTGCTGTTGCGGTTGCTGTTGATGCTGCTGGGGCGTCGGTGTGACGGTCGTACCAGACTGTCCAGTGGTATTGGAAGGGGAGGGGTCGTAGCTTGCCGAAGATGTTCTGATGCAGGGATTTGCGGGTTGTTGGGGAGGTGGAGGTGGAGTCGTGTTGGTGGTGCTCCTCTATGGGGCTTTTGTCGTTGATGTGGACGCTTGGGATGGTGCTCATTTTGGTGACGGAGAACTGTTGTAGTACTAGGGTTGGGATTGAGATGTTTGGAGAGTGTGTCTTAGTATCTGTCCTGCGTGAGGATGTGGGTGGACATCTGGTTCAATTCGGTGTGCTGATGGGATATATAGTTCCCAGCGAAGAGAAACCTATTGTTTATGAGCATGTATGCAAGGGAATAATACTCGGGGCTCATCAATGGCTATAAAGGAGGAAGAAGAAGAAGAAGGAAAAGAAAGAGGGGAAGTAAGACAAGGGGTTTGTTCGGACTGTCAAAAGGACAACAAGACAATGGGAGCACAAAGAATGCTCACTTACCGAAAATGAATGGCGAGTGAAGCTATACCGGGAATACCCAGACAAGTCGACACCACAACTTGTGTCAGAAAGCAGAGATGAACTCAGGGGACAATACAATGGTAATCTGTCTCAGGAGAAGGCGGGGAGTGAGAGGGGATATCGGCGACTTTATCAATCACGCATTGACTCCACCAGAGCATCAG